TCTTGAAAGGGCTTTCAGTTCATCACCTAAATCACGCACATCAATATCGCTCATGTCATCATGTGTCAACACTGTCTCTAGTGTCCTGCATTGCTGGTGTAGGTCTTCCTCAGGTAGAGTGAGGAGTTTTGGAATATCATACAACATCCCAAATATACTGCTGTGTTCCTTGAGCTGCATGAAACGTTCTTCAACTGACTGTATTGCACAATCTAGCACCTGGTTAAAGAATTGAACTTTGAATTGTTGTTTGGGGTCTCTAATGGGATTATCCCGTGCCTCGTAATCAAAATGTCTTCTTCTTCGGGGACTCTTGTATTCTTGAATGGGTGGGAAAATAGCTTCAGTGTGAAGTTCCTCTGGCAACTTCTGTGCACTGTTCAGAATGTTTTGAAATCCCTCATCTGACTGGTAAGACTGTAGGTATGACTTTGCTTTGTCCAGTTGTTCCATTGCTCCAGATATATCAAAGTCAACGCCTTGGAGTCTCTTGCTTACAACGCCTTGGAGTCTCTTGCTTATTTCAAACAGTATGTCATGCCACAACACTAAGCCACACAGCAATTTGAAGTTATGTATGTTTCTGGTGATTCCATTTCCCTCTGCCACTGTTCTCCCATGAACAGTTCCTGTCATAGCATTATCCTCCATAATGGCAACTATGGCATCATCTATCTTCCCAATTTGGTGTTTGATAGGCTTTATCGCCTCCTCTTGACTTTCCCATCGTGTGGCACTCAGTGGTTTTAGTGTCAGAGAGGATGTTCCCAGATGGTGCTTCAAAATCTGCCATCAATGAGTTGATGCAGAGAAAAATACATAGATGCTTTGAATTACACTTAAAAATTCAGCAGCCTCACTAGAAGCTGATGCTGAATCACTGACCATCAAGTTCAATGAATGAGAACTGCATGGGACAAAAAAAGCTTGAGGGTTTAACTCTCGGATCCATGTCTGCACTCCTCTGCTCTTTCCTCTCATGTTGGCACCATTATCGTAGCCCTGACCTCTCATGTCAGCTATCACAATTCCCGTATCTTCCAGCATTTTAAGAAGCACATTTGTCATACCAGCTCCTGTAGTATCATCAATGTCAATAAATTCTATAAAATGTTCTCTGACAGTCACCGTTGCAGGGACATTTTCTCTAGGTTCGGTTGTTGTTACAAAACGCACCATTAAAGCCATTTGTTCCATATGGCTGATGTCAGGTGTGCAGTCCAGAATAACAGAGTAATATCTTGCTGACTTCAGATCTGCCACAATTTTCTGTTTGACTTTTGTTGCCAGTAACTGTATGATCTCATTTTGAATTGTTTTTCCAAGGTAGTGGTGTGTGTACATTTCTTGGGTGGTGACTCTTCTTAGACGCTCCTGGAGTACAGAATCAAACTCAGCCATCAGCTCCACAATTTTAAGGAAGTTTCCATAGTTTGGCACATACAGCTGATCTGAAGTGCCACACAGTGCTAGGTTTTGGGTAGCAAGCATACTCACAATGGCAATGAGCCTTTTCAGAACATTTTGCCAGTAAAGAGACTCTGATGCAATCTTCTCTTGATGCTGATCATATATGGTGGCCTTTAACCTTAGTCTCATCTCAAGCTTTTTCCACCTATGGAATGCTCTCTGGTGATTTGCTGCCTTCTCACGGCATGCCGGATTTCTAGCCAGATTTTTCCAGTCCTTTGTTTCTGTAGAACCCAATGTGGCTGGAACATTAGACTGGAAGAGTTCGCAACAAAAACAGTATGCAGCTTTCTGGGGTTTTGAGTACATAAGCCATGGCCTCTCCACTTTGTCACGATTGGGGATTTCATGTTGGTAATGTGTTGGATGGAAACTTCTATTTTCATTGTCTTTGGGTAACGTGAAGTTTTTCACTTGCTCTGGCCCATGCAGTACAAGGAAGTCCCTCAGGCTACTGCTCAAGTGGGTCCACAGTCCTGGATCATCTAGACTTAAGGAACTAAACTCAGCAGCAGCTGTTTCTTGTGCCTCCACCACACTCTTCTCTGATCTACACTTTTCTTCAGAATGTGCATGGTTACATCCATTTGAGATGGAGATATGGATGCTGCAGTAGCTGCCAGGTCACCTGCACTCTGACTAACTGGAAGATCAGGCATCTCCTCACCACTCACATCCTCACTGGGGCCAGAAGGCTTGCCGTGAACATTTGTGTCTATGTATCTCAGGAGAGTTCCTTCCTGCTTAGATAGAAAAGCTTCCTTTGCTTTCTTTCTTTTTCTGAATGCTGCCCCAGAGGGGCGTTTTCTTCTTTCACTCATGACTGCTGTTCTGTGCCAGCTATAGTGGCTCTCAACACTCAATTAAAGGGGACAAATAAACAGGCTGGTAGCAGGGCCTGAGTGAGGGAAGATATCAACGTCTTAAGGGCCTAACTGGCTCCTACTACTTCAGTTGATTGCCTGTTCTCCTCCAGTGGGTTCAGGGAAGCAGCAGGAAACAGGAAGCTCCCTGAGAAGCTGATGTTAATCAGTCCAGGCTCCTGGGGGTGCTAGAGAGGTACACAAGAGGCTCCTCCTCCTCTCTCTCCCTGCAGCTGCTGCTGCTTTCTGTTATTACCTCTCACCTTTTCTCCTGCCTGCCTGTTATGTCTCTTGTGCCCTCCTTCCTCCAGCACAGCACTCCACCATCTCTGTGCACCTAGAGCAGAGAGAATACATATGCACCAGCAGCAGACACAATTTTCTACACTCTGGGTCCTAGTGGCGCCCTCCCCCCCCCAGTCTGGCACCTGAGGTGGCCGCCTCAGTTCGCTTCATGATAAGGCCAGCCCTGCACCCTCCTGGTAAAACAGTGTTTCCTAATATCCAACCTAGACCACCCCTACTGCAACTTGAGACTGTTGCTCCCTGTTTTGTCATCTGCCACCACTGAGAACAGCCTAGCTCCATCCTCTTTGGAACCCCCTTTCAGGTAGTTGAAAACTGCTATCAAATCCCCTCTCACTCTTCTCTTCTGCAGGCTAAACAAGCCCAATTCTCTCAGCCTCACCTCATAAATCATGTGCCCCAGCCCGCTGATCGTTTTCATTGCCCTCCGCTGGACTCTCTCCAATTTGTCTACATCCTTCCTGTAGTGGGGGGTTCGAAAACTGGATGCAATATTCCAGATGTTGCCTCACAAGTGCCAAATAGAGGGGAATAATCACTTCCCTCCATCTGCTGTTAGCCTTCTTGGCAACAAGGGCACACTGCTGACTCCTATCCAGCTTCTCATCCACTGTAATCCCCAGGTATTTTTCTGCAGAACTGCTGCTTAGCCAGTCGGTCCCCAGCCTGTAGAAGTACATGGGATTCTTCTGTCCTAAGTGCAGGACTCATCACTTGTCCTTGTTGAACCTCATCAGATTGCTTTTGGCCCAATCCTCCAATTTGTCTAGGTCGCTCTGGACCCTAGCCCTAACCTCCAGCGTATCTACCTCTCCCCCCAGCTTAGTGTCATCTGTGAACTTGCTGAGGGTGCAATCCACACCATCCTCCAGATCATTAATAAAGATGTTGAACAAAACCGGCCCCAGGACTGACACCTGGGGCACTCTGCTTGATACCAGCTGCCAACTAGACAGTGAGCTGTTGATCACTACCCGTTGAGCCCAACAATCTAGCCAGCTTTCTATCCACCTTATAGTCCATTCATCCAATCCATACTTTTTTAACTTGCTGGCAACAACACTGTGGGAGATATATCACGTCCACTGCTTTCCCCACATGCACAGAGCCAGTTATCATTATAGAAGGCAATCATGTTGGTCAGGCATGACTTGCCCTTGGTGAATCCATGTTGACTGTTCCTGATCACCTTCCTCTCCTTCAAGTGCTTCAAAATGGTTTCCTGGAGGACCTGCTCCATGATTTTTCCAGGGACTGAGGTGAGGCTGACCGGCCTGTAGTTCCCCTGGTTCTCCTTCTTACCTTTATTAAAGATGGGCACTATATTTGCCTTTTTCCAGTCATCTGGGAGCTCCCCAATCACCATGAGTTTTCAAAAATAATGGCCTACAGCTCTGCAATCACATCAGCCAATTCACTCAGTACTCTCAGATGCATTAGATCTGGACCCATGAACTTGTGCATGTCCAGCTTTTCTAAATAGTCCTTAACCTGTTCTTTCACCACTGAGGGCTACTCACCTCCTCCCCATACTGTGCTTCCCAGTGCAGCAATCTGGGAGCTGACCTTGTCTGTGAAGACCGAGGTGCAAAAATAAGCATTGAGTACTTCAGCTTTTTCCACATCATCTATCACTAGGTTGCCTCCTCCATTCATTAAGGGGAGGCCAAAGCCCTGAGCCCCAGTGCCCCCCAGGGGTCTTAAGCCAGGAACTGAACTGTGGGGCTGAAGCCCCGAGCCCCAGGGCTCCCCCTGGTCGAAAGCCCTGAGCCCTGGTGCTCCCGAGGGTCAGAACCTGAGCCCCTCCACCCCCACCCAGAGCCCTGGGCCCCCCGCAGTTGCAGCTGTAACTCCCCGTGGCTGAAGCCCTGAACTTCAGGGCTAAAGCCCTGAGGCAGTACAGTATTTGCTGGTGGTTTTTTGGTCTCCCCTGCTGCCTGACTGATTGCTTTTGGTTCCATATGGTATCTGGCTGACCAGTAAGTCCGTAACTCTGGTGTTTTTTATCTTTGAGGTTCTACTGTTTACACCTCATCTCTTTCAACAAGTTTCATTGACTTCTACTGCACACACAACTCAAGTACTGAGGTCTTGATCCAGCAAAGTTTAATGTGCTTAACTTTAAGCACATGAATAATTCCAATGACTTCAATGGGACTACTCATCTGCTTAAAGTTAAATAAGTGCTTAAACACTTTGTCAGATGAGGACCTGGGAGAGAAGGAACAGAGGGAATAAAATTAAGGGAGAGTGGGTGGCTTAGTTAAGCACAGTTATTGTTTGAAACTCTTCTCATACCATTTCTGCTGAAAGACAAATACAGAGTAAAGACATTTAATGGAGGTTAACCAGAAACTGTACCTCACATGACAAGCCAGAATAACCCAGCGGGCAGTCACATTTCTCAATCAAGTGAGCACGAGGACTCATTCCAGACACATTGCCTTCTTCAGCAACTTCCATCGAGATCTCAGAAATTCTGGAAAACACAAACCGGCAAACAAAGCTTATCAACTCCATAAAGCATTGTTTCAATAAAGGTTCAAAGTCAGCCAGTTCAGGAGAAAAAGGCTTCATTTGGCTGTCTTGAATCCTCTTGGCCTTAACGACATGAGACAAAAAATGCTCTATTTTTGCCTGTGTATGAAGGAAACTTTAAATCCAACATACCTTCATTCTGATTTTCCATTTCTATCCTGAAGTTTAACTAACTGGTGTACTCTTCTTAGTTCCATCTCCCCTTTTTTATTTTCAGCCCAGAATACTGACAAAAGCTCATATCTGATTCCTCATTTGAACATATCGTTAAGAAATTGATGTCACACACTAAACCCGGATCCAGTTCACAATTCACAGAAGTGCAATAATAACTTTATTCACTAAATATGCTTCCAATGAGGCATTTTTTAAAAATAAAATGTTCCCCCAGCAACTAAAGCAATCTCACAAGCTGTAGAACAGACTTCAAAGACGTTGGACAGTCAGTTGCCTTTTAGCAGCAATTTTAAGACAGCCAGAATTCATTTTTTCCCTCAGAATCACAAGGACAAACAAGCAAAATGTTTAAAACAAAGAAACACATAGAAGTTGGTTAATGTTGGAAAAAAGTATGTTTCACATTGGGACTACGGACTCTTTCCCTCCCCAAATGTCCACTTGATTATATTAATATCCTATACCCTCATCTCCCAACTATCCTCCCCACATACACCGAACAGACAAAATGATTCTAAAGGGCAACAAATGAAGCATGGACAATGACAGCAAAAGACAGTTCTAAAGCATTAGTTTATCCCAGGGCATTGCAAAATTGTTGCTTTGCCGAAAGGAGGTATTTTAGCTCTCTCCTTCTTCTTTTGTTTAAATGACTACTAAACTGTGAAAATATTTGTTGTTCTTTAATAAGTAAAAAATATAGGACAAGCCACATAAATTTTAAAGCTTCCAAAAATAATTCCAAATCTAAGCAAGGAGAGGAAATTTCTTTCTCTTCTATCATTGAATATGAATACTTATAGTAAAAGTTAAATCAAAGTAAAGAAGCTAATCCATCCAGAATTTATTTATTAAATATCTGTGTGTAGGCGTTAGTACAAAGAAACTTATGGAAATAATTAGCTCCTGTTCATACTCCCAAATCACCCAATTCACAGATTTCTCCACCCCCACCCCCAGTTATACTGATCTGTTTGTTTAGGCATGTCTATTGCACCTGTCATCTTGGTATATAGGTGTCGACATTAAGAAGACCATAAGCAAATCTAGGGTGAAATCCTGACCCATTCAAATCAATGTGAGTTTTGCAATTGACTTCAGTGGGATCCGGAGTTCACCACTAATTTCTTGAGTCAATGCAATGTCCCAAGTGACAGCAGCACTTTCCAGCCTATATACGTTTGTCCCTACTTGAGAAGGAGGGTCACCTGGAATAGAGAAGTAGAACAAGGAGGAGACAAAAACAACGGACTGCAAAATAAATAGGGTCCAAAATTATTGTTTTTGTATGGAGTGTCAACACAAGCTTGAATGGAACTCCCTGTACATTTAATATAAAAACAGAGTGGAATCTGCTTCCCCATCATCATCAAGATCCAGGATATGCCTACACTGCAATCTTCAGCATGGGCTAGCAATACAAGTACGAATCGAAGGTCCCTGTACAGCCCGCACTGAAGCCCTTAGTCATAAACCAGAGACAATGCTCTGTGTACGGCACAAACTATATACTGTCCCAGAGCTGAATTTACATAACAATATACTTTGGGACCAAAAAGCTATTTGTTGTCTGGGGAAAAGTGTTACTTAAGGTAGGTTAGGTTCAGTTGCTTCCTGAAGCATGTCTAATAAGAATCAGTCTAACCACTGCTTCCTGATCAGCATCTAGTATTCTGAAATAATTAACAGTAAAATTGAAAGCATATTTCCAATCCAAACTAATTTATTATCAAAATCCAGTTGCCTGATGAGCAAAACAAAATCTAATTTGAATCTATGAAAGAAATATTTCAATTTTGAGTGGTGAAAGTGAAAAAGGAGAACAAAATGAACACAGTAGGAGAAAAATGTTTGCCTTTGGATTTTTAGTAGAAACCTCTAAATAACTCTCCTTAATAGCATAGCTTTCTTACAAAAACAAATTATAAATTATATGGCTAATATAGGGCTAACATTAGAATTAAACTATTTTACACTTAGGTCTGGTTTGAATTTTCATTGACAGTGTTTTTGTACAGTATATCAGTCATCTGCACTCTGCTTTTTTAAACATTTGAGTTGAAAGAATTTCCATGTTAGAATTAAAGAGCTATTAACTCCTCATTAAGAAAAGGAGGACTTGTGGAACCTTAGAGACTAACCAATTTATTTGAGCATAAGCTTTCGGGAGCTACAGCTCACTTCTTCTGATGCATCCAATGAAGTGAGCTGTAGCTCCCGAAACCTCATGCTCAAATAAATTGGTTAGTCTCTAAGGTGCCACAAGTCCTCCTTTTCTTTTTGTGAACACCGACTAACACAGCTGCTACTCTGAAATCTAACTCCTCATTGTACACTTTGAAAAAAATTGACAGCAGCCCTTTATAATAATTTTTTCTATAACTCTCTTCCCTCAGACTTTATTTCTAATGGCAACTGGGTGAGAAGAGAAGCTTTGCTTGTTAAGAGTTAGGCTCCAAATCAGGAAAGCATCCAGGACACAACTAAAGCACATGCTTAACTATAAGTCACTGGACTTAAGAACATGTTCAAAGGTAAGCATGTGCGTAAGGGCTGTTCTGAATAGGGATGGACTTAAGTCTGTGGTTTAACTTCTCTCCTGAATCAAAGTCTCTAGTTCTTAGGGAAATCTTCCAAGGTCTTCTAAGGAATTTTTGGGATTGATTCTGCTGTTCTTATTCAAATGACATTTCCTCTGAAATCAACAGGCATTTTGCTTGAGTATAGATTGCAGGGGTTTGCCTGCTAATTCTCCACCTAGTGTCTCAAATATCATGGTGATGAGCATTATATAAATGCCTAGACAGATATCATAAAACTTTATTGTGACAATTATCTTCATATCAGTTGTGATATCATACACAAGGACTATGACTTCAGGTGGAGAGGTACCAGAAAGGGAATAGATTAACTCTTTAACAAGTCCCACTGCTATATAAAAGGCTATACCCTGTAATGTGACTCTGTAAAAATGGCATCTTGGTTTTGTAACTGCTATCCTTGCAAACACACCCTGAAATTGGAAAGCCGATCTCTCGTCTCCTGATTTACACATCATCATTGGTAGCCCTGACCCAATCAAGGTGCATTATGCTTTGGTGTAGCTAGCTGTGAATAAGGTGTCCATCTCTGTACACCTCAGCATAAAGATTCTGAAAATGAAAATCGTATAGCATTTTTTCTTATGATGCATGAGCCAGGATAGAGTCACCTCACCCTCCACAGCTGAGCTGGGCTCTGTAGTGCTAACAGTGATTGATATAAATTGATGGAATATTTTTCCGGAGCAAAGAGAATGCTTTTCAAAGTTTTCCATGAGGTATCAGAATTACTTTCCCACTCCTCTAAGCTGAGGTTTCCCTGTGCACATCACACAATGTTGTAAATTAACCATGCCAAAAATAGACAATATGAACCGACTGACACCCGCAGCTGCAGGGGACATCCAAGTTTTGGAGAATGGATGGTTAGTTCCTTTAAAATTACTTACAAAAATTAATAATTAATAATAAATAACAACCATCTGCTTCTATCACTTTTAGGGCACAGATACTAGTCTTCCATGTCTCTGTTACACAAATATTGCAAAGTTACACTATATCTTTTTAATTCTACCACCATAGTAGTACCTTCTCGAAATTCTATATCTTGATAGAGATATTTGTAGCCTATTACTTTTAATTTGCCTATATATGCCTAGTGTCATTTTAACTGGGCACTATTTGCATCACTAATCATTTATTCACTACTGATTGCCAAGAGACAAATATTTCACAGGCCAAAATTCATATTTATATAATAACACAATATCTGCATAGCATTCAAATCTGTTTACAAAATATATTTTTGCTTTTTTCTTGGCTTTGGGATACTGAGAATAAAAGTCTCATTTGGCTACAATAATTATGGTTTTCTCTTAATACAATTCCTTTCTTCCACTTCTCCAGCTATACTGGACACCCTACTCTTCTTGTACATCCCACTGATTTTGTGCCTGGATTAAAAAATCAGTTTGAAGTCTCAAGTGAATTAGCTGGGATGACTGCAGTATTTCAGGCTATTGCATGAAATTGTTACCTGCTTTGTCTCATGATGCTGCCATGAGAAGCTTTAATAAGAATGTAATGAATGTTGTAAAGCACATCCATGAAGTCCTCACGTGTCACAGTACTACTGACTCTTGCGTCATCACCATGATATCTCCATTCATGCTGAAGGAAACAGTAACACAAAAGCCAGCCAGTTAACAGTATCAACAGAACCAAGGGTTAACATTCTGAAACAGAACTGACTAAAACGTTACCTCAGTCATCTCTATCTCATGCCTCGTCAGCTGGCCAATCAAAGGGGCAGCCATATGCCGGATGATAGTTCTAGTACGTGTGGGAGGCCCACCTCTGATGATGACTTGAGGATTATAGGTAGCAAAACCCGTCTCCTCGCGTGCTTCAAAGTAGATAGCATATTTCAGTTTCCCTCCATAAGCAGTCAGCTAACGAAGCAAACAGAGATACCAGTTACAGTTAGCTACAAATATATCTCTGTGTATACATGATGGATATGTAAGTATTACAAATGGATGTATAAATACGCGTGTGTGTGTGTGTACACAGAGGCATGTGCTACTTGGAATACATGGAGATCAAGGATTGTGCACAGACATACATGAAGGTAATCTGTTTCTGCAGAACTGTAAAAATAAATGTCCCTCTTTGTGAGAGTCTGTGGGAATATCAACATTCCCATGAGCCCAATCAGGGGACTTCAAAAGTGCAACACACAATAGAGCCACAGAGGTGCAAAAGGCCCAAAGAGAAGGCTGTTTCAAACATTTTCAACAAACTGTGTCTACACAAGACATACAAAGCTTGTGTAACATTTCTGTCAGATTGGGAGAGGCAGGGAGTCACCTGAGTGAAATATTAACTTAATACAATCCCCCCACCTTTTTTTTAGTAGTAGTTTTGTGAAAAGCTCCATCTTGTGCAAATAAATAAAATCACAAGGTAAAATCTGGAATTCCTGACAGATCTGTTGGCTATCATTGCCTTCGATGGACAATAAAATTCCCATTAGCAGCATATTTCTTATATATTTATATGATTAAATATCTAGTTTAAGATAGTATTGATGTTACAGGATTCCAAGTTTTGATGACAATTAATAGAATTTCCAATTATTTTTGTGACAATTTTTCCTTGACAAACGGTACTGACAAAAATATTTATTCTTTGCAAGCACCTTCCAGTTTGCTGTCATTTTCCCAATAGAGGAATCAGAAGCATTTATAAAATGTCAATTTTTGTCAGAATTCAAAGAAATCATCTTTACCTTTCGTCCTTCAAATTGCTCTGGAAGTTTCCAGTAAATAGGTTCTGATTGGAGATCTTGCATCACCAGTTCAATGTTAGCTACTATCTCTGGATGCTGGAATACAACCCCTCTGGTAGTATTGTCCTGAAGGTTTTCATCTACCAGTGGAAGAACCATCTGTTCCGGCTTCAACGTCAGCTGCACATATTAAAGGGATTAAAAAGAAAAAAAAATATTTTTTCAAGCTTTTTTCATGTAGGCAAAGTCTCGTTATTCTTTTATTTTTTATTCTCTTAAAAACTGGTTGTACTTACTTTCACACTAGCCCTTAGTCATGTGCGTAGTCCCACTAAACAGAACTATTTGAGTAAGTGTTGTGCACTGTAAGAGTTCCACCATCTAGCCCTTTGCATTTAGTGCTCATGATAGTGAGGAAAAAGCAGCACTGGCTAGAGCCAAACACCGTGTGATATGAGCACGTGTCTGCAAGCTCTTCACAGACCTTTGCCAATGTAGCTTGTTCATAAGACTTTGATATGTCTGTTATTTCAGTCCTGGGCCACACCTCTGTACAGAGTCTGAGAATCTTATATTACGATGAAACACACCTCTTATTTTCACTTAAGATCTAGACTTACAGGGTAGACAGGCGTAATATAGGCATTTTTGTTACATTTATTGCTACCGGACAGCGAATGTGAGAATAACTATTTACTGTTAGAAGCTCTAAGACTGTACTGAGCATGCGCCACTGGGTTGGAGCAATGTGAGGAATTTTTTCCAAGATGGAGACTGATTAGTTGTCTTTGTGATCCTGTACCACAATAAAATATCTCCTTTTTCAGTTCTAATCCATTTTGGGTCTCCATATACTACATTGGCAATGAGGATAAACTGAAAACAACCATCAGACAGTTCTACATACTGTGCAAGTAACAACCTTTTTTTGCCTTTCCATATGGCTGCATATGGAAAAATGAAAGAGTATGATGCAGAATGGGATAACTGGATTCAGTACTCCCAGATTCTCGCAGTACTTCATTGCAAATGGTAAAGAGGATGATAACAAGAAACATGCCATGTTATTGAGAGTTTTTGGAGCAAAAACATACAGTTTAATTAGAAGTTTAGTGGCACTGGAAAAGGCCCATGCCAAATCCTTTGATGAGCTGGTTAAAGTTGTCTTGCACCATTATAACCCCAGGCCACCAGAGATTGTGCAGCATTTTGAATTTAACCGTTTCTCCCACCAGCCTGGAATGTGGTCCATAGTAGTTTTTGTAGAAGAACTGCGTTATTTATCAGAGCTTTGTGGTTTTGGAGATACAGTAAATGCCATGCTGTGGGATAGACTTATCTGTGGTTCAGTGATGAAAGAGTTCAAAGATGTTTGTTGGCAGAGTCCACCTTAGTTTTGACAAAGCTCTGGAAATAGCGTAAGGTATGGAAGTAGGTACGCAGCATGTTTTGGATTTATAGGGAAGCACTAAACAACAGTTAGATAGCCAAACTGTTGTGGGGACCTGCCATACACAAATTGTCCAGCATTTCACACAAAATAAATGAATCTTTAATTAAACAGAGGTACCTCCTTACGAACACACAACATTGCTTTAGAGGTGAGGAGAAACATGACCAAATACCCCTCCCCATATAAGGCTACAGAGTGCTGGATTTGCCAGAAGTGAAGTCATCTTACAAAAGCATGCTGTACAAAATGGACATATGGAAGGGAAAATGTGGGTCACAAGAAAGAGGCTTGTCATATTGCAGAGAAGGAAGAGGAACTGAGGACTTGAGGTATACGACGTTTAATGTTACCAACGAAAGCCAAAAGGAGATGGCACTGCAAGTGGATGTTACAATTGATGGACAAAGAATAACCATGGAAACTGATACAGGAGCTTCTCTATCTATAATCAGTGAAGTTACACATCACCAGTTGTGGCCAAGGAACAATACACTATAGCTGGGAATAGCAAAGGTGGTGTTATGTATATATACAGAAGAACAAGTTCCAGTGAGAGGTAAAGTCAATGTGGAGGTGGGATACCAGGATCAAAAGCTATGCTTACCTTTAGGAGTAGTAAAGGGGGAAGGTCCCAGCCTCCTCGGGTAAGACTGGTTAAAGCTATTAAAATGTCACAGGGCAGTTACCAGCCATCTCTATATGCTACATGTAGAAGCACTTTTTGAAAAAACACTCAGAGCTGTTCAAGGAGGGTCTTGTTACTTTGAAAGGGGTCACTGGCAGAATTTACATGGATCCAGATGCTAAACCATGTTTCTTTAAGCCAGGTCAAGTACCCTATGCCAAGAACCATGAGGTAGACCCAGAACTGGACCAATTACAGCTAGCTGGTATTACTGAGCCTGTCCAATTCTCAGTCTAGGCTGCTCCTATTATCCCAGTGTTGAAATCAGTTGGTGGAGTGAGGCTATGCTGGGACTACAACCGTGTGGCCAAGTTAGATAGGTATCCACTCCTCAGGATTGAAGACCTGTATGCTACCTTATCTGTGGGAAAACCTTTCACAAAAACTGATTTAAGTAATGCAAATCTCCAAATACCTCTGGACGATGGTTCTAACAGCTACGTAATGATCAATACTCCCAAGGTGTTGTTTCATTACAACTGCCTCCCCTTCAGAGTGTAAGCAGAGCCAAGTATTTATCAAAGGGCAATGGACAATTTATACAAAGGCATGCCATGTGTCTGAGTCCACCTTGATGATATCCTGATTACAGGGGAATCTGAGTCAGAACACTTGCAAAATTTGGACCAGGTCCTACAATAATTGGCTGAAGCAGTATGCATCTTAAGATGGAGAAGTGTATTTTTCAGTCTGCTGGAGTAACATACCTGGAAACAAAACTGCTGCAACTGGTTTACATTCTCTAGAGGAGAAGGCACCACCACCAAAGTCCGTGTCCTTTCTAGCCAAATTTTTACCCAAATGGCAACTGTACTATTACAGAAAGGGATAAAATTCTAGTGAAGTCAAAAACAAGAAATAGCTTTTGCAGAAGCAAAGGAATTGCTGCAGTCAAACTTTTTAGTTCATTATGAAATCCAGAAAAAGCTAGTCTTGTCTTATGATGCCTCATGATATGGGATGGGAGTGGTACTAGCCCACTGAATGTCAGATGGGTCTGAGCATCCAATCAGTAATGCAACAAGGTCACTAGCTCCAGCAGAATTTCCCCCCCAAAACCAGAATGAGAAGGGCTAGCAGTAGTCTTTGAGGGTAAAGAAGTTTCACTCTTACCTATATGGCAGGCATTTTGTTATGCACAGACCATAAACCTCTGAAAGATCTGTTTGGTGAGCACAAACCTGTACCCCCTATGGTATGTGCCAGAATTCAGAGATGGGCTCTCACTTTATCAGCTTATGACTATGAGTTTGATTATAAACCTAGAAAAGCATTGAGATGCTCTGTGTAGACTTCCTTTACCGGATAGCCCGCCCAGAGTACCTCAACCTATAGGAACCATCCTCCATATTGTACTACTGTCCACTTCTCTAATTGAGGCAGCACAGATAAAAAGAGAGACAGAGCGAGACCCATTATTATTGTGAGTGCAGAGAGTGGTTACAACTGGCTGGACAGAGAGAGTAAGCACAGAGCTTCAACATTATTACTTCCTAAAGGATTCTTCACATGTCCAGATTGGGTGCTTATTATTAGAATCCTGAGTGATCATACCTCCAAACCAGTGGTATTGAAGTTGATACATGAAGCACATCCTGGCATTGTTCACATGGAGGGGGTCACCGTTCAGTTGTGTGTGGTGCCCGGGAATGGATCAGAAAATCGAGACTGTTGGCAAACCACACACTGTTGCACAATCTAGCCATCATACTCCACTGAAAGTTCCTTTGCACTCATGCAGGTAGTTTCAGTGACCCTATGTGAGGCTTCATGTAGACTATGCAGGTCCATTTATGGGGAAAACGTTTTTAATAATAATTTATGTTCATTCAAAATGGACTGAGGCATACGCAATGCCCTCCTCCACAGCTGAGGCTACACTTGATAAACTTGAACTTACATTTTCCACTTTTGGATTTCTTGAGACAGTGATGAGTGACAATGGTCCCCAGCTCACTGGTGCTGTATTTCAGGAATTTATGGGAAAAAAACCCAGCATCAAATACAGTAGGACTGCACCAAATCACCCTTCCTCAAGGGCCTAGTACAGTGGGCTGTCCAAATCATAAAAGAGGGAATGGAGAAGATGGCACAGAAGCCAAAATGACCAGGCTTCTTTTCCAGTATTGCATGATGCCGCTAGCCACAACAGGAAAGTCACCTGCCGAAACTCTTAATGGGAAGGAAACTAAGAACTCATTTGGACTCTCTACACTCTGTTAAAGCTGCTAAGTTGAAGGAAAAGCACGCAGCACAAAAGTTATACTATGATGTCTGAGTGTCACCAAGAAGGTGCACATAATGCAGTATATGCTCTTACAGCACGAACTGGTTAACTGTTCGCATCATAGCACATGCAAAACCACTTTGTTGGGTAACTGAGTTATCAGATGGGAGGCACATTTATAGATATCACAGTCATGTTCATCTGCAGTACCATGGGAAGTCACTAGACAATTCTCATTTGGATATTGAAGTAACAGGAGTTGCAGAGTCATTAGACTACCCAATTGTTACTTCCAGAAATAGTGAGACTTGGACGTTAAGCCTGCAGAGATGGTTGTATTATCAGAAAGTCCTTCTGCACCTGCTACTAATCAAGGATTGCAGGTGTTTCCATTGTACAGTTCCAGAAAATCTCCCAAACCTAGAGATAGACTGGACTTGTAGTAGTAAGATGTAGGCTTGACATGAGTAATGGACATGGGTGAGGCCTCATTTCTTGGGAGACAGAATTAAGGAGGCAAATGGATCAGCAGGCTGGAAACAAAACGTCTGTACTAACTAAGATAAGGGGGAACACCCAGAGAATCATTTACAGTGGTCAAGATAACAACAGGTAAGATACTCCTGAAATATAAGATGAGGTAAGGAATAAATTGTGCATGGACAGTGTGTGGACAGAGCATGCTGTACAGGGATTGGTTCCTACAAAGTGACAAAGCCAATCCTGAAACGTGTGGGGGATCCAATGTCATGTGTAAATGTATACAAAGGAAGAGGTTTGTGAGGTATGACCTACACCCACCCACATTTGAGTATGATCCACTCACTGTAGCTTTCCTGTATGCCAAACAAAAGAACCTGAGTAATGAGACTGGAGTCAGACTGAATTCTTGGGGAACCAAGTGGAAGAGGTCTCAGGGGAGCCCAAAGATAAGGCAATTATGCTAGCCATGGCAGAAAATCCCTTGCATTTGCCTGAGGTTTGAGGTAGTGTACCCAGCCAATTAGTCAGGAGGTTTTATTTTGTTGTTGCAATGTTAATGTTTTATGTTTATTATTAGGAATGATTTAGAGGGGAAGGAGTGTAATGTTTTAGGTATTTTTGTTATGATTGGTGAAACCTGGTGACCAGTGTGAGAATATCTATTTACTATTAGCAGCCCTAAGGCTGTACTGAGCATTCTTCCTGAGGTTTGGGGCGGGAACAGGGCGTGGGAATGAGGAACTTTTTCTGAGATGTAGACAGATCAGTTGTTTATGTGATCCTGTACCACAATAAAATATCTCCTTTTCCAGTTCTAATCTGTTTTGAGTCTCAGGCAAGTGCATGAACTCATTGTACTGCCCAGCCCCACTTGCATCTTTTTCATTTAAAATTCAAACAAATTATTGTGTTCTCAAATACACTAAACTGTGTGAGCCCAAAAGTCGCACTGATTGGATAATGTAATGGTATTCCACAACTATTTAGATGTTAGCAACCTCACTGAAAGAAAACCAATAATATGCCAGCCAAATCATTGCTGTGGTTAAAAGAAAACTGGAATAACTTCTGCCCAGAATTACCGAGATTGTTCATAGAAAGCATGCAGCAAGCTGGACAAACACAGAGAACAATAAAATAAAAAATCAGAATTGCAGACACCATAATGCTAAGGAGTCAGGAACAACAATTAAGCTAATGAAGAAATCACATCTGGGTTTCACAAAATGCCATTTGGGCACTGAGGAAGAGGAGAGGCCCAGCACGGTATTCAATTATTGTGCTGATTATATTCTCAGGAGCTGTTGTTCAGTGACAGGACTTGGAAGTATTCGTTCCAGCTGCCAACTTCAAAGTCATGTTCCTGGAGTGGGTCTTGCTACTATTCACCAAGTACATCAGCCAGCAAGAAAATGGTTAACACACGTGAACTGCATTAAAGATTTTCATCAGCCGCATGAAGTTTGTGAATTTATGGCTTTTCAAATGGCACTGACTCTGTTTTGAGATAGACTGGAGTATTCAAAACTATAAAGGCCCAGGTAGCCTATAATGTGAATCTGCAAAGTCTTGTTTAAATCTCAGAATTCAAAGAGGAGCGAATAAAAAGAGAATAAAAAAACCCCCAGCTTTAAATAATGCTTCAGCTTTATTCCCTCATGTAAAGACCAAAACAGAGTTTGCAAAAGGATTGATGCTTTCATTAGCTCTGTGGCATGACTGGTCTTATCACCTTCCTCTCGACCCAACCCACGTCGGATTGATAAAGTTGCACCAACACAGCTCATTTGGAATCCCTCTCCGTCTATCGGGGGGAAGAAAAAGTGCTAGAGATAAACAGAGGACTTCAGTCACGAGGACTATCAATCCAGCATGGGATCTGTGGTAACTCTCTCTTCTGGGGGGACAGGTCTTTTGTTGTTCAGTTGGGCTCCACCCACCAACCCAGGATTTAAATGGATCAGCATCTATCACAAGCACAACTTTAAAAAAAATTATAAGGGGAAAAATGAGGAGTTAATCAAATCAAATCAAATCGACATATTTAACTACAAGCAACAATGACCCTGGAATATGGCTAGGGAAACTGTGCAACAAGTTCTGATTCTCATCTCTGTGTCAGTGCTCTAGTGTGCTGGATCTTCACCGTACAATTTTCCCACACTTGAATACACTGCTTTTTACTGGGTTTTAATAGCTTTACTTTGGCTTGACATCTATTACACTATCAAACAATTTTTTGTAATGCCTTGACCCTGATTGTCTAATGGAACATGCTCCTCTCTCTACTTCTCAAAGTACGCAGGGGAAAAGATTGCTTAAACGTTTTGCCATTTCCTAGCTACCTCTCTGTGCCTGACTAAAAGAAGCCAGCAGGAAACTACATTATCACATTACACGGCTCAGCAGTTCCCTACTCACCCACATGCGGATCAGTCCCTTTGCCTCACTGCACTGAGTAGTCAGACCAAAGCAATAGCAGCTGTTGCAGCCAAGTGGGTTTTTGGCATAGAGTCCAAACATTTCAGACCTGCACCTGTCACAGTGGACACCTTCCACGTTAACCTGCAAGAGCACAGGGAAGAGCTTTATTTAGACACACCAAAAACCAAAACCAACTCCATGCCCCACAGCCCATGCACAATAAAGGGATTTGGATGAGAAGAGTAGGTTTAAGGAAAAAATTAAGGCTTACGGTTTTCAGCCTCCAATCACACATATATCATACCTCCATCCACTAGATAAGTATGGGCAGAGGATGCTGGCTCCATGTTGGTAGAGGTACTTGTAGGACAACAAATTGCACTTTTGATATGAAGTGCTTAATAGCTTATTGATAAAATCAGTGAAATTATGCCCTCCAAAATTGATGAGTTAATCAAACCTTTTGTCTGCTATGAGTTTATCTTGACACGTCAGAATATTTAAGGTACAGTACTGACTGTACTAGCTGAGGAATTTATTTTTATAGAACTATCAAGGGCGGTAAAACATTCCCACTTTCTCTCTTCATCTGATTGTTTTTCCGCGTCATTGAACAATATATAAAGGGCTGAAATGTGCAGCTATTCACTGTTGTAATGTCAATACTTTTAATTCCACTACGCCATTATTCCCAATAAAGAAAGCTAGACTGTGTATCACTGGATGTACTCATCATTTACACTGAGCCTTTTTGAAAGGATTTTTATACCAATTCTGTGGCATTTTAAACACTCACAGCCAATATTAAAGAGCTGAATCTTTTACTTAAAGAACAATGTCAATATAAAACGTACCAGGAAAAAAAATCTTTATTTCTATTACTAACACCAAATCAGAGTATTAAAATTGAAAGAATGTTGACTATTTAATTTCATTTACATCTTTTGTTTAACTTTTTTTTTCCTATCAGCCTTAAATGGTCAATGTCACCGCTTTTGGTCCTACTCAGTTACGGTTTCTGATTCTTATATAGGAGCTCCATGCTGTTGTTTTTTGATTCACAACGTGGCCAGGATCACGTAAGTAAAAACAACTGCTTTCATCAAAATTTTAAAACCCAACCAACCAAAGAAAACATTTCTTTATAAGGCTTTGTAAAATCTCCTTTCTCCCTTTGGGAGCTATACTTTAGGCCTAAAATGTGTCGACTAATGTCCATTTGATAAAAGAATTATCAAGCAATAATAGTTATTTCAGCTCCCTCTTCCTTAATTACTAGCTGTCTACTCTCTCTGCATGTCTGGATATTGAAACAGAATGAAGGATCCTAAAATGGAGTCACTCTGATGAGATGCATGAGTATTAATGTGACAAATTCTATAGCCTTACTCAACAAAGCTCCCATTGAAGTCAATGTCCCAGTAAGGATTAATTAAGGACTATGGAATATGGCCCAAATGTTGCTATCACCCAAAAAGTCATTCTAATTTGCCAAACGGCTGATTTTGTACACTGAATATGGCCAACATGGTAACAGTTCTGTAAGGACAGGAAGAAAAACTTAAAATAAGAAAAAAATCTAAGTCAAGGCCACATTTAGGAACTTGCTTTATTAAGCTTTAGTGGATGAAAGAGCAACCTAGTGTAACATTTAATTGTTTGTTCCTCCCTCTAGTTCCAAGACCCTTGGCCAGGAAAAAAGGGCTACTATTACAAGCAGCTAACAGAATTTGTGTTTACTGTAGGTCCCAAGTTATCTCACTAACAATCTGTTGTGATAAGCGAGTACAAACTCCCACTAACTTTGAAGCAGGTTCCCATGGCACCATTAAGTCAGCTTGCATACCTCATTGCCTTACCTTGCAGCTACATTGCCCTGTACCATCAACGCATGAACATTTTTCCGTCTCTGCATCACAAGTCTGAGGATCAGTCCCTGCCAGTAAGCAGTCACAGGGAATGCACTGTGGGTATTTCCAATATCCCGGTCTGCACTGAGTGCATTTGTCCCCAGCGAATTTAGGGTGGCAGGAGCAGCAGCCTGTATCTGAGTTACACTGGAAACTGAGGGATCCAACCACACTGCAATCACAGGCCTATAAAGAAGAGAGAGACGACAATAGATTTTAATCACATTTCTTGTAGGCATATGATGAAGTGAGCTGTAGCTTATGCTCGAATAAATTTGTTAGTCTCTAAGGTGCCACAAGTACTCCATTTCTTGTAGGAAGTCTTGTCATTTGCAGCCATAGATGAACACAGGTTACTTGGGAGTTCGTATACAGTAATGTATTTCCAATGCTAACAGCAATGCATCTGTATCAGAAGGCCACAATCTAGTTAGGGTAAGAGAGGGGCCGGAAGTGAAACAACATGTATTTACAATATTATTTTCATCATATTTTATTTATCACTTGAGGCTTATGCGTTGTAAATGAATCAGTCTAGTGGCCTGGTGTGTGGCCTCTGAGTCTGAGGTAGCAGAGTGAGAAATATAATGTGTTTTGTTAAACCCACAAACAAATCTTGACATCTGGTGCAGGGAAGGCTTAGACAACACTGCCAGACCTGCAGCTGCCGTAGGTCTCAATCCCAGTGCCACCGAGTCCCACCAGAACTAGTGCAATGATTATCAATTAGGTTCCAGTGCATGGACAACACGTCGCAGTGCAGACAGAACTGACTTTGCATATGGTCCTCTAGAGAAGCAGGTAGTCAGAGAAGCTGAAGGCCTCCAAAAGGTAGAAGAACCAATCCCTCAGGAGTATCATTGTGACGACTCGGTAATGCTAGCAGAAAACATTCAATTTAATCAGTGGCATGATGGGAGCCTCATATCAAGAAACTTTGCTTGCAATAGCAACATTGTTCCAGTGTCACTAGTACAAGTTGCCACAGTAACTGGCGTGGACACACACTTACTAAAATTAAAGTAGTAAAGCTGGCAGGGAGAGGAACAAAATTTGCAGATTTAGTTTCCACTCAAAATTAAAACCTTGTTAACATGACTAGCTACAGGATCCCATCTGAATTTAAAAGACCTGCTCACAGCATAGGTCATTTATATGACAGACACGCACTCAATCTTTACTGACTGCAACAGAAACACTAATGGTTAGCAAATGTTTGACAGGCTGCTGTGCAGTCTAAGAATTAAAACCTTTTCAAAGCAGTTTGCTTATTCACTATGTTATGCTGCAAGATAAATCCTAGAGAACAAATTGTTCACCACACGGAGAAATAGCTCGGGGTACAAGATAAAAACCTAAATAACGATCACATAGAATGTTTCTTTTGCAAGGAACCAGTTTTATGCCGCATCCTCCAGCCTGAGAGTTATGACAGGCTCTGAAACCTGCTCCTCTAAGAGCTCAAGTGGAGTAGGCATTCGCACCTCACCTCGGAGAAATTAGTTGCAACATGCGAGAAGGGAAGATGTGACTGATATATCATTATTCATTTAGGTAGTGCCATAGCAGCTGTCATGCTAATACACTCATACAAAAGACAAACGGAGAATGGATTCCACAGCTCAGATAAGGGTCTTCACCCCGTTAGGCTGGTTTCAAGCCAAGCATTCTATATTGCAGCAGACAGGCAAAGATTTTACCAGAGGAGCTTTAAACACACTCGGAAAAGATTCTACATAATTAGTGAGCCGCTTGAGCTAGATGAGAAACAACCCTTTCAGGAAGGTCATTAATGGTATATGACTACGTTCAGGCAAAGCACACTCTTCTGGCATAATTGCAGCAGTTATTAAAGTGTTAATTCCTGGGAAGTGTTATGAGCTTCAAAAGACTGTTAGAAACAATGAGAACTTTTAAAGTTAAGTGGTTCTCCAAGCAGGGCAGGCTCTAGGATTTTTGCCAGCCCGAGCAAAAAAATTTTTTGCAGCCCCGGCTTTTTTTTCATCCCCCGCAACCCCCAGCTCCGCCTCAACTCCACCCCTTCCCTGAATCCCCAACCCCGCCTCCTCCCCTGGGCATGCCACATTCCCCCTCCATTGCTTCCTGTGGCTCCACCCCCCGCAACCTCCCGCCCTAGCTCACCTCCACTCCGCCTGCTCCCCTGAACATGCCGCCGCTTCACTTCTTCCCCCTCCCTCTCAGGCAAGGGAGAGGCAGCGTGTTCAGGGAAACAGGCAGAGCGGAGGTGACCGAGGAGGGGGGAGCGCAGGAAGTAATGGGGGGGGTGTAGAGGAACCGCTTCCCGCCCCAGCTCACCTCCGCTCCACCACCACCGCCTCCCCCGAGCGCGCTGCCACTCGGCTTCTCCTCCCGCCCTCCCAGGCTTGCCGCACAAAACAGCTGTTCTGTGCGCGGCAAGCCTGGGAGGGAGGGGGAGAAGCGGAGCGGTGGGGGTGGCGCGCTCAGGGGAGCAGGCGGAGGCGAGCTGGGGCAGATTTCTAGGGGCGGCATGGCTGGCGCCGGAATGTGCCACCCCAAGCACCTGCTAGTTTTGCTGATGCCTACAGCCAGCCCTGTCTCGAGGAAATCTCTAGGGGAGGTATATGCAAATTTAATACCTCCAGTTATGCAACACCCCCCACACCAGTCTTTTGAAGCTACACCCTGAGGAGAAACCCATTGTCTATGAATCAACTATTATCAAGTCAAAGACCCAGACTGTATTAAGGAGAGACTTTCAGATTCATGGGTGAGCCAAGGCGATTATGAACTTGTAATCACTGGCAACCCCCTAGGTGGGGTTTGAAGGACTGTTCACCTGCCAGAGCCCTTCCTGCAGTCAGGGTGTGATCTCTGGTAAGCTTATTAGCATGTGTGTAGGTTCTATTATTATTTTTAATATGTTTTCTCTGTAATGCTTTCATCTTAAGAAGAAATGCACTTGGTTTGAAAGAGCTGCACGTTAACTTAACATAACGGCAGTTATGCTGTTTATAGTCTCTGAGGAAGGAAGGCAAAGCGGCCTCCTGAGTCAGTCTGCCTTCCTGATGAATTCACAGAGTAGGCAGGGAGCTGTGCAGCCTGCCCATCAGTAGGGAGAGAAATGTGCATCTCCGCCCAAGAGAGGTAATCGCTGGAGTGCTAGAAGACTAAGAGTGGGTGCCCTTGATGGACCATAGTGGGGCCCTGAACTGTAACAGTAATCTTCCCAGTTGAGTTAATATACCTATAATACAGAAATCATAAACAAACAATATCCAACAGCTTCACCATGGATGAACATATGGTTCAAACAGATCTGGTGATGCAGCAAATAACAGATTGTATGCCAGGACAGAGAGTCTGCAGTATTCAGATACAGGTCATCAGCACCTATATTGTTTCCCTGATTGATACCAAAACTCAAAACACAACCACGTGGCTCTTTACAAGCCTAAAATTGCAAAACTCAAAACACAAAACTCAAAACTCAAATTGCAAAACTCAAAACTCAACCACGTGGCTCTTTACAAGCCTAAAATTGTATTGTAGCTTCAAACTACTGTACTTTACACAATAGAAAACATGGAACACACAGAGAGAAAATAAGAGATCCACTCACCTTGCACCCGCTGACAATGTCATGACCCCAGTAATTTGGTGCACATTTATCACACTTCTCTCCTATTGTATTGGGAGGGCACACACAACGGCCGGTGACTGGATCACAATTATTACCAAGATGGGAACACTCACAAGCTTCAGGGGAGAGAGATAGAGAAATAAAACAGAGATAAAGTCATCCTCTCTCCCTGACATAGAGAGAGCAAGGTTAAGTCCATTTTCATCAGAGCTTTCACTACATGACACTTTTCTGTTGTCATATATCTATATCTATATGAAATAAAGTTATTCCTTCCTCTTGTTCCCTTTTGAAGTCTAAGGGTTCCTCTCCACTTCTTGTTCTTTGCTGGAATTTCTCTGCAGAGAGGCTCACTGTAGGCAAGCACTTCTATTTTAAGAGGGAGATATTTTTTAAAAAAATCAAATCTTCCTGGCTCCCCTTCTTTTCATCCTTTTGCCTCTAAAGAAGTGGCAGAAAGAGAATAAGGGAGCGAGTCTGAGTAAATATCCTACTACTGAACTGATTGCAACTCCAAGTGGCGCTAATAATGTGGACAGCAGAAAACCCACATTCACCACTGAGATCCCCTTTAGTTGCATTGTTCCGGGAGACTTTGGCAAACCAGTAAAGTGCCTGAAACCACTATGGCTTATTGTTAAAAGCAGCCAAGTTAGCAGGCTATAAATTGGCCATTCAGCAGTCTCAGTTTAACTAAGGCAGGAGGGGAGGGGGGTTTTTGGGTGCCACAGAGAGGGCAGCTTGACCCCGCATCCTTCCTGATAAGAATTGTGTTGAAGTTGCTGATACATGGATTTTAGAAGAGCAGGATGTGCCCCAGGAATGTCTATTGGGGCCTCAAGGCTGCAAACTCTGGAAAAACCCACACCTAGTTAATCAATAATCAGAAGGAGCTTCTTGCTTGCCCATTGGAACTGCTTGCTTAACAAGTTTGCTTTAAGGGACATGTCATTCTATTACTAATGTATAAGTAAGGGGGAAAAGTTTGAGGTGGTGGGACTCTTCAGGACTGGACTCTCCCTCTGGATGCCTCGGGCTGTCGTTGTGCCACTCGAGAACCACACTCAGCTTTGGCAATTATCAAGGGTTGGGGGTGTTTTACTAACCTGTTGCAGACGTGTGTATAAGTGCTTGAGACTAAGTAAAGTTTAGCTTTAAGTGAAAGCACTCTTGTGTTGTCCTGTTTGTGCCAGCCATCTATCGGTCGGACGGCCGTGTCTCCCCTGATCTATTTCCTGACACCACCTCGCACAGAGTAAAAGTTACCAAGAGCGTTGGGTTGAAAGAACCCCGGGTAACAGCATCTGCTTCAGAAGCAGTTAAAACAGTAGAACAGAAATCTAGTTCCCTTTCTTCACCACATTCTGCTTTTAATGGGTCTGTAATAAACTCTTCAAACAAAATTAGACTCCGGTTTCAAATAAAATGGTAAGTTTAGAACAATGCAGTGCAGCAACAGAAGAAATAAATCACTGAGCTAGATGATAAAATCCAGAATTTTTATGAAGAGAATGATGGCACTAAAGCTCTAACTGGAGCAATTATCAGAGATAATGTTGCTATTCATAGTCAACCAGAATTTATGGAAAAAATATTAAATCTACAAATGTTTGGATTCTGGGTATTCCCAACGAATTATGATTGAAGAACTATCAGTTAAAGTTTCAGCTCTTTTAGCTTTATTGGCTGGAACTGAGTCATCTTAAAATATAATGGGCCAGATTATGGACAATCTAACACTTCCAAGAAGGCTGGCACAGGGCAACTCTTGACTCTACATCATGGGTAGCGTCTTGGATGGGAGAGCTGCTTCCACAGGTAGGTGAGGAGTGGGGGCTCTGACCAATGCAACTGCATCAGTATGCTGGAAAAAGTAATTTGCTCCGGATCCATAGATTCATAGATTATAAAGCCACTGGAATCATCTAGTCTGACCTCCTGTACGATACAAGCCACAGAACTTCCTAATTAATTCCTGTTTCAGTATATGTTTAAACTAACCTCCAGTCTTGATTTAAAAATGGCCAGTGATGGAGAATCCACTACCACCCTTGGTAAGTTGTTTCAGTGGTTGCTGACCCTCATGGTTAAAAATATAGATAGGGCAGGTACAGGGTTGGCTCTGGTTACTCCCCCCTCACGCCCCACTACAGCAGAAAGGGAATGAGCAAGCAGCCCAGGCCTGAGTGACTATCTGTTCCCTCGTCTGTTTCTAGGGCAGCACTACAATGTACTACCCCTTGCTTCGGGTTGTGGCACAACCCCAGTTGAGCTCAATGAACAGGTAAAATGTACCAATAAAAAGCCTTCTATTGTTCAAAATATTTCTACTCCAACCAGAACTAAACCATGAGCATGGCGTGGAAACGTAGCAGTTGGCTGTGGTTTGGTAAAAATTGATCTCTCTAAAACAAATCAACTGCTGCAGAAAATGATTAAATGTTTGCCTTGAACCTGCAGTGACCTTCATGCAGATGGACTCCTGTGCCCACACAGCTCCATTGACTGCATGTTGGCGTAGAGGCCCAGCCATGCAGAGCTCACTGAGGGACTGAGTCTGTCACTTGAATTCTCTTCTCTGGATTTCCAGACTCTAGTACTATTCGCTACAAATGTTATTTAATTAAAAATAAATTGATATTACAATACACAATAATTATAGTGTGTGAGCTTAATAAAATAAATAATAAAAGCAGAATTCATTTGTTGTAGGTGAAGAACTGGATTCACATGTAGAAATCTTGTACATCTTTTCTGTACGGATGTCAGTAATATATTGTGATACTTTGTTTTTCTATAATATACCTTTGTAGGTTTTATGTTTTTTTTATTATACCAAAAATCTCTAAATTACATTCCTCTTGGATAAATGCTAGATAAAAGAGGCCCAATATTTTATTCTACACTTAACTGTCTCTTTGGTGCTCATTTTCATGGACTTTTTTCGAGCATGATTTGATATACTTAAAAACATTCCGTCTTTTCTATGTGATTTATTATTCAATTCCTGTATTTTTTGTCTTTTGAAACAACATATAAAAAGCTTACTAAAAATAGATGGGGGCGGGAGGGACTTGCATTTTTAACAGAATTCCTTCCTGTCTATTTTCTTCATTTTAGAACTTCTAAAAATCGGAGTCTTCTGATTTTAAGTAGCTGGATTTTTTTTTTTTAACAATGGCTTTCTCATCTGGTACAAAGCAAATATATTTCTGTCAAAAAAACAAAAACAAAACCCCTCCTAAAACAAAAAACTCCCTTTTTACCTGGATTGCTTTCCCAGCTTAATAGACTGTCTTAAACTTACGTCTTTTTGTGTTTGGAGAAACAGAATTTAAGATTTTAATGTAAAATCTCATTTATTGTCCTTTCATGCCCCTTACTCAACTACGTGAAAAACATTTTGTAATAAGTGGGGAAACATGTATTTAAGTATTCTTATTATCTGTAGGATGATTAAAGACAGAAAGATTTCACAAAAGGGATGTGCTTTCTAGTTCTGTGACTGTTAGAAGAAGAGACCAATCATTAGGGTTGGCCAGAAAACAAGAATTCCATTTCATGAAAAACTTTGAGGTTTCCACATTTGGTTCTGTTCCAATGAGGAATGAAACCAAAACTTTCAAAACTGAGCTAGAGACAGAGACACTAACTCTAGAGCTGTGCCTGATTTCAGACATGTACTAACCACTGAGCTATAAGTGTCAGGAGCTCCCTCTGCCGCAATGAATAGTTAAATATTTACAGAAAGTGGAATAGCTCCAACAGAATCGATCAACAGAAGCAGCGGCTGACTCTATAGCCCAGTGCTTTAAGCACTCCCTAGGAAGCAGGAGACCCAGGTTCAAGTCTCTGCTATCCCAGATTTGGACCCGGGACTTGAACCTGGGTATTCCATATCCTGCATGAGTTCCCCAAACACTGGGCTCCTGGCTATTCTGGGTGGGTCTTGAGCTCTCTCTACCCCTCCCCAAAGAAATACAGACCTGAGAATCCTTCCCAACAGAAGCTTTGCTGAAACAGATATGTTTCTGTGAAAAAAATTGGTTTCAACACACTGGCATTTCCTGAAAAAAAAAATTTTGTTGGAAAATTCCTGACCAGCTCTACCAATCATGAACTCCATTCACAGTTCTCTTGTTTTATGCACTAAGAGCTTGGTGATGGCAGTTACCGTTAGAGCTGAGTGAATAACTGATTTTTTGGTTCATAGGAATTTTTGGAAAAAATGAACAAAAATTCATTTTAGGCAGAACTGAACACTAAAATTGTGAAAATTCAGGCAAACTGAAAAAAAAATCCATTTCAGATTAAACAAAACTGATTTTGTTTCCCATTCCTTTCAAGGGCTTACTTAACAAAATGGCCAAACAAGGAGGGGGTCCTGCTGCTGCCCTCCCTATAACTTTATCCCTGATGTTAGGGCATGAGAGATGTGGGAGACCTAGATTCAATTCCCACTCTGGCTAATGTAGAGAGGGAATTTGAACAGGGGTCTCCCACCATCCAGAAGACTGCCCAAGCCATTGGAGTATGGGATATTCAGGTGTGGATCTTCTCTCAATATCATCTGCTGAAGCTACTCCTTATTTCATGGCTAGTCAGTGAGTCTCCCATATCCTAGGTGAGTGCCCTAACAACCAGGACAGTGTCCTTTTCACTCTCTCTACCCCTTATTCAGAGCAGGGACTCTGAACCTGGGTATCCCACATTCCTGGTGCCCTAGCCACTGGGCTATTGTAGGGCTCACTCTCTGACCAGAAATTCCATCCATGACCTGAGAAACCTTCCTGACTGATCATTTCTGCAAAAAGTTTACATGAATCACCATTTTCCGACCAAAAAATGTTTAATTTAAAAATTCCTGACCAGCTCTGTCCCTATGCCTTTTATGCATACCCATGATATAGCAGCTTGGCTATAAAAAGAGGTAAGAGTGGGTCACTCCATATTATCTTGTTTTCTCTCTGTATGCAGCTCGGCCCATGGCAATGCCCCCACCTTAGATATAGCGTAGGATAGTCCAAGGAAGAACATGCTACAGATTGAGAAGGGAAAAATTTGCAACAGGCCATGAAATGGGACCTCATTGTTTACGTACGAGTGCATCCTCCTTCTTCAAAGTTATAAAACCCACGAGCACAGCGATCACATTTCTTTCCTGCTACGCCAGGCTGGCAATGGCATTGTCCATTCTCATCACAGTCGAAGGACTTGGAACCAAAAGAATTGCAGTTACAGGGAACACATCCTCTAAACGACTGTAGACCAAATGTTCCAGGCTGCCACATAAGACAGAGGAAGAACATTTAGTATAGACAAGGTCTATCTGCAGAACAAAGAGTTAAACAGTAAAAGTGCTGGGGGCAGAGGGTTTATTTGAGTTCTTTCCTCCTCAACGGCAATAAGAATAATCTGAAATAAATTAAAAATAAAGGGCCAGATCCTAAAGCCTTTGAGTTGAGGACATGACGTATCTTGCTGGCTCTGATCTGAGTAAGGACTTAAGTATTTGATCCAATGTTTATTAGAATTAGGGCACTTTGTGTTGCTGTGTAAACCTGATGAATTTTCCTATGATGTCTGTTTCTAGAACCTACCAACACATGTAGAAATAGAGGGTAATCAGATTGCAAACAACCTCCCAAAGACATACTCATAAGGCATCCCTAAGTATAGCAATTTATTTTAGCAGAGAGATTTTGAAGTCCGCTCTAAAAGGTCACTTATAGAACTTTGCCATTTAACCTGGCTGGAATGCCGGCTCCATCTTGCTGAACTGAATATTTGGATTGTGATATTTTTGAAGGTTATAGTCATAAGCTAACTGAATAAATACAAATACTGACCTATGCTTCAGCATAGTCTGCTATATGCTTTGCACATTATCATTATGATTTTTATTACATTTGTCTGATTTCAGGCCCATTCTTGCTCCCACAGAAGGGAAACAGGATGGAATGGGAGGATAGATTTCACCTCCTTGGGCCAGGGACCATTTCTCACACATTTGTCAAACAGTATATATGACTACAGCACTCTGTGAATAACGCATAGAGATAACTTACAAAAAAACAACTGAACCCTCTATTTTGCTGCCAAAACAGGGGGGGAAAAGCATTAAGGTAAAATTCACAGGCCAAATTCAGCTATGGTATAAGCGAGTGCAACTTTATTTACTTCAATGTGAGTTGCATCCTTTTATTCTAGTTTTGAGTGTTGTCCAATATTTTCAGGGCAATTAAATAGCTCTGACAGCCAAAGATAAAGCTAACCAATCAGCCTCTTGTTTCTCTTCATTTTATTCTTTTACTTTTTCTGCATTAACCGCTCCAGGGGCCTTCCAAAATCAAAACCTGAAGACAAATATTCTGCAGACATTGAATATCAGTGGCTATAACACTAAGTAGCTCCCCCCTTAAGCCTATCTGTATAAGGCAAAAATACTTGTGAAGAAAGGAAGTTAAGGCTTTAATATATATCAAACTGGACAGACCTATGCTGAGCTTTCGGCCGATAGGTTAAATTGTTGACACTGAATCAGCTGAACAGAAGTTCTATAGCAGCACAAAATTCTTTGTATTAAAATGATGAGTTCAATTTTACATTAGGTTTATGTTTACTGTGAATATGACAGGGAAACCAAACTTTGCATATAGTGATTTTGTCATTAAAGTGCATGAGGCTGTGGAGGTGGAGTATTTTTGTTTAGCTGACATGGATCTGACATGGATCAGATTGCTGGAACAGGGCCTCTGGGCAGAGGTCAACTGGAAGAATCATGTGAAAACTAATGAAAGATCATACATATAACAAGTAATTATCCAAATTTTCATTTCCACATTTTATAGTGATATGCTACACTGGTATGTACCTTAGCATGATGAAACATAACAGAGAAAGGAATACCCAAACTCATGTAATTAAATTTCCAGGTTCAATTAAATCTACAGACCATCTCTAAAGATTTCTTTCATAAGAGGAAGAAATAGAATTCAAAAGAAGAAATGTGAATATGCAAAATTTCAGGACAGGGATTCAGATCAATGCAGCAAAGCAAGCATAACCCAGCATGCAGCTCAGCTCTCAATGAAAGGTTTGATAGGATCTAATAAATTCTGTTTATCAGAGTGAAAAACAGTAAAATTGGCTCACAGGCTAGAATTGCATAGCGTGAAGGAAAGAAGGATCACCAGCATACTGTATTGTCTACAGTGATGAGTTTTGCAGAGTGAAAGGCATTCTGATAAGTCATGCAGTCTCCCCCAGATTAATCCTCAATAAAATCTATTTATATATTGAAATTAAAACTCCATTTTATAAGCATCATATTTAACAGGGAGCAAATTTCTCACTTCTAAGACCCTGGATAAAAACAAAGAAATATTCTGAATCTTTCCGAATATACTATTATGTTTTGTCTTTATGATGGATGTTCATGTATGTGTAAAATATGTGCAAATAGTATTTGTGCGTATGGTTTTGGGTAACAAAAGTATATCCTAAACACTTCCATTTAGGAACAGGGCATTATAATTACACCAACTTCAAAAAAGCCTGCTTTGACTAGACATGAAAAATAACAGGAGTACCCTGATTATTGTTTTCAGTTGGGAAACAGATTCTTCCAATGTGCACTTTAGCCAGTAAAAGAAGTCAGCTCAAGTAGCTGGCACGTGAATTAGTGAAAACTCAAAGTCTACTACATACGATGATCCAGAACCCTTACATATGTTCATCATCAGGGTTGATCCTTCTACTGGACTAAATTTCTTGATATCTGGAATCCGTAAAGATATAGGGTAAAATCCTGCCCAGTTAAAGTCAGTGGCAACACTCCTATTGACTTCAATGGGGCCAGGATTTCACCCATAATTTCTGTATGTCTCACTATTGATTATGTTGTCTCTAGACTTATTCTGGTATTTATGGTTTTGCCTACATTGTGCTTTGGGCTAGGTTCAATCCTGAAGGAGTGTAAATATTTTAAAAGTCTGCATTTGTACCATGTCATATTCCTAAGCCTGTGGCTTCTTGATAAACTGTTAATTTAGCACAACACAGAATGGGTGTAAAAACCTCCAACCACGATTTGGGAGTCCCCATGCACAAACAAATGCTGAAATCCAGCCCATGCATCACACAGGTTTTCTGATTACCAAAGCGACAGGCCTGTAAGCACCACGTGGGCACCCGCTGGTACCAGTGAAGCCCCATCTCTGAGAAGGGACTTGGATTTGCTGAACGGCCCGTGGATTTTCTTTCCGTTTATGCACCTGTCTGCTGAGCTCACAGCGTTTACCCATGAATCCTGATTTGCAGATGCATCTCCCCGACATATCACAGCGCAGTGACATGGATCTTAAAGGACTGCAGCCACAGGGTATGCAGAATTGCTTTTCTGGGGCCCACAAGTAGTTGGGCTTTAGGAGTGAAAGGCAAAAGATAGTTAGCCAACAAAGGCAGAGAAGTGATGTGGAAAGATGTTGAGAAAAAAGTGCGGCATTAAACAAAGATTAGCTCTGCATCTACCATCTGATAACATACTTATGAAACAAAATACACAAAATGTTGAATTTAACAATGGGAACTAAAATATAAACTCTATGGTTAGTATTAACTAGCTTTAATTATTGTATGTGCATATTGTACAGCAAAGGACAAATTCTGTCCTCTGTTACACCTGGTATGTTCCACTGATGTCAGTGGGGCTCCCTTGAATGAAACCTTTGACTAATGTTGAAAATCAAAGTGGGGCATTTATGGAGGCCCTGACCCAGAAATCTACTTGAGTAAGTACAAAGCTAAGTGTGGAAATAATCCATTCCATTTCCATAGAATTCCTCGTGTGCTTTAAACTAGGCACCTGTTTAGGTGTTTTAACAGAGAGGGGCCAAAGTCAGGAATTCTCACTCGGCAGTCTGTGGAGCTACAGTAATCTATGAAGCATTTTCTAGTGGTCTGAAGAACAAAACACTTTGAAAATCAAGGATTTGGGGACTGGGCTGTTGGGTGGGTCCATGAGAGGAACTATCTTTTGCAATGTTTTCCTCTTTTGAACTAATGCACCAAGACAACAGGCAGTTTTGCCATGAAAATCTTCATTACCTTCATGCCGTGAAAATCTTCACAATGCATAAAGCACAAAATTCAATGCAGAGAAGACAAGCATTTGCTTTTTTGCAAATCAGCCAGTCTCTTTTAAGGCAGTAATTTTTTCCTAAGGGCTCTCATATGTATTACCTTTTTCATATACATTAAGGATTGATAGTGTATATAATCTTCAGGTGACTTAGAATAAAAAGGTATACATGTTAATTACACAGAAAGTGGTATATTCATTTAGTGCTGAGTTTTCCTCCAGAAAACTCCCAGAATACACACTAATCTCCTGCTATAGCAATAAAACCATTTAACTTTTGCTTTTCTTTGCCTGGAACAATCCATAATATTTTTTTAAATGGACAAGCACTTAGTCATGTCAAACAGTGGAGAAGAGTTAAATGAAATCCCAGTTCTGATTACTCACCTTACACTCATCACAGCGACGTCCCACAACATTGGGCTTGCACTCACACTGCCCTGTCTGAGAGTTGCAGATCTCTGAGAATGAGCCATTGATGTTGCAGTGACATGCTACAGGGAAACAGAGTTGTCACAATGCACTTTGTGAGGACATGAAATGCATAATAAGTGAAAGATTACACTCCAATTTCAAAACAGTTTTTTGAAGCCAAGCATTTACAGTATTATTAGACTTATTACTGGCAAGGTCCTGTGAGGTGCTGATCACCTTAGACTCTCACTGATGATAAAGGCGGTTCAGGGTACTCAGCACATCATACTATCACACCCTATTTTAGGATTTGTGCACCTGTAACTGTACATTATAAAACTGTTTGCAAACTGAGGAATTTTGCTTCGAGATAAACCAAATCATTTGCAAGTCACCAGAATCCAAAAATAGGAGAGCATACTATTATGGACATGTTCACCTATAATCAAGAGTCTGAAACTTTTACTTCCTACTCTATAGATTACATGCTCAAAATCTCATGGAAAACTGAGGAATAAGGAACAAAGATCTGCTGAAACCCACTGCTTCTAAAGAGCAGCCTGTCCACTGTACCAAATCTTCGTATCAGCAGGATGGTGGTTGAGTAGCGATGAAAAGGTATAGGGTTGAGGTTTAGAGACTAGCTTGTTGTAATGCCCAAAGATGAAACTGGAGATCATATGCTTCCATGCCTCCGTCTCAGCAACGGGCAATGTAACTCAGGTAGGCACCCTGCTGCCATTGGCTGGCCTTATCCAATCTATGCCCAATCTCACTTTGAAAGAGCTATGGAAAGGAGTTATTGCTTCTCAAGGCAGTATACTTTTTGATGCACTGCATTCTAAGTTCTGATGCTCTGAGAGAGGAAGAACTTGATGCACAGCGAGGCTAGTCTACCAACTCCTCCTCCCACTCCCTTTGATCATGCCTCTCTCAGTCACACAGACCAGAGAATCCATAATGATTACAGAAGGGAGAGAGGTGGCTATATGATGGTGAGGAATGTGACCATATAGACACTTTTCACATCTCCCTTCACCTTCGTGAACAGGACCATCCGTCTCCCTTCTTCCCCAGGAGAGGAGTTCATATAGTCCTATACTTCTTATACTATAAATTCCCTCTGCTTATCAGGTCCATGCTCCGGTATCTTTTGCCCCTGCCAGTTTCCCTGAATGCCTGTTTCTGGTCCTTCTCTCAAACCCCAACTTGACATTTCATTTTAAGAAACACTTGTAGTCCCAACAGTACACATTGTGATCAGCATTAAAAAGTTAGCATCCCACAGACCACCACATGGCATTTCAGATACTGCAGTTATTCCTAGTCTATGTATGGGGAAATACTGCAGTCATCTCATATGACTGTCTCCGATCTGCAGATAAATGCTGGCTCTTATACAGAATGGTATTTTTTTATTTTTTTGATGTGCTATGTGATGAGTGTCACTTCATAACAAAAGACTGCAGATTTTATAACTTGTGAGTCTATTCATTGCCCCTTTTTCCTAGGTCTTTAGATAAGCACTTCACATACTGGAATAAATACATACATACATAAATTAAAACCTGTACTGCCCTAATGTCTTTTTTTGGAACAAGCAAAGCTTGTTCATGTCTTCATAATGCTTTAATCTACTTACATTTTGGGATATATTTAATATAATACAGAGATTTAAAAACCCTTCTCCTGTAGATTGTATCACTTGTCCCCACTTTTCCCTTTTTTTTTTCTAGCTGCATCTTTGTCCTACTTCCCTCACCCTTGTATCCACCTTTCCTCCTATTGCCTCCCAGTTTGTTTACTTTTTAAAACTACCTACATTCCAAAAAGAATACATAATGATTATTATTACATACATCCTTCAAGATAGCTTTCTAATTCTGAGATCAACAGTGAAAGATTATACACTTGTAAACCTCCATTCTTAAAAGCATAACATAGGTTGTCAGCATGTAATATATATACAGTAAGTCTATTGAGGACCTCATTGGATTTTTGTCTTTCAGACAATTCCAAATATGGTATCTCAAGACTTTAAGACAGAAATTACACTTTTTACACAGATCAGGTTATGCTATTAGTAATATCATACTCAAAATTCCACACAGTGTACTCCTAGTTTGACTATGGATGAGCTCTTGAGAAGGAGTGTAATATAGTGGTTAGGGCATAAGTTGGAAGTCAAGACTCTGGTTCTTTTTCGCAGCTCTGCCAATGTGTATAATACGTATAGGAGTAGCATGTATTTAGTAGTATCATCTGCTAAATTACAGATCCACACAATAAACTGCATTTATTTCACTTACACACTGCTCACTGATTCACCTCCACAGTTATTGTCCAAACCTCTGAGCAACTTCAAAAAGTTGCAATTTAATAAAATAGCCTGTCAGGGAAATGTTTTGTTCTTTCCAGCAAAAGAAATTTCCCCCCAAATTACATTGGTCAAAATCTACAATTCATATCATACACACACACACACACATCTATCTTTATCTATGGTATGGTACACACACATACACATCATTATGCAATTTTTTTCATCTGATCCAACTGTGATAGTACCAGGATAATTGCTTGCTGTTTTCTCTGCCAGATCGTGGCTGTTTCACACTACCATCACTAAAAACCAACCCAGAAGAATCATATCAAAGAGGCTTAGGACATTTGTTCAAATTCTTAGATTTGATTTTTTTTAAATTCACTTTGAAATGCAGAAATGCTGTGATAATATACAGCTGGGCCATCATTTGAAACAGCTAATGCAAATGACAATAGCACTCTACTTAAGAAAGAGCAGGAAACATTTCGAATAATAACCTCAGAGCAAAATTCATGCTTTACAATACTCTGGGATTTCGCTCTTTGATAAAAAGTGAAAATTGAAAACAACCAAGTCAAGTCATAGTCCCTCTGATATTGTAGCTGCAGGGCAAACTTCAAGGAATGCTGTTAAAGAAATATAAAATCTTATTCAAAAAGAAAATCCACACGAAAGATGGAGAGAAAATAAAGTCAAGGTAACTGTGAACACAAGGATATGAATACATTGAGGCTTTACTGTCATCATAACTAACTACAAAAACAACAATTGTAATTATGTGTTAAAATGTATTTATTTTTAATATTTTTATTGTATGTTTTCATCATACTCCAGATACCTCCCCTTTGCAGTTGCCACTGTTGCAGAAATGTTCAAAGCTTCAGCCATGTCAATGTCTGAGGGAGGGCGAGGCAGTACTGGGAGCTGTGCTTGTACCTGTAGTTTGATATGTGAAATGCACTGCTTTTTACGTGACATTATATATTTAAAGTCTTAGATCATGTGACATCATGCCCATGAATTATTAACCAGTTCTGAGACTACTTGTGAATGCTGAGTTTTTAGCACTGTCTAGGTGTAGAAGATTTGGAAAACCCTTTTGTTAGTTATGTCACCACTCTGTGCCTCAGTTTCCCCATCTGTAAAATGAGGAGAAAGATACTGACCATCTTTGTAAAGCACTTTGAGATCTAACGAGGAAAAGTGCTACATACAAGATAGATATTAGCATTATAATTTTGCATATACATACAGTATATAGAGATAGGTATGCATACATATCCGACTATACCTTTACACACACACACACAAAATATTTTTATGCACCCATACAGCATATGGACACACGTATGTATATCCACACAATGGAAAAACTTGATAACTTGTCAATAAAAATGCTTTGAAATCCTCCATGAAAGGAACGCTATACACAAAGAACAAAGTGCTTTACAATAATTAATTCAACCTCTGATGGAGATAAGTATTATAATTGTATGCCAATTAAACAGATTGCTAAATAAAGACCAACATTTTCAAAAGAGGCCTCCCTAAGTTGGGGTACAGGCAGTCCTCGGACTTACGACACAACTGGTTCCTGAAAATTGTATTGTAAGTTGAAATGTTGTAACTCAGAATCGCAATCCTCTCCTTTGCAGGACCAAGCACTGTAAAGTCGAAACCAAGTGTTGTAAGTCGAATCAGGGTGTCAATTCAGAAACATCAGAAGTGCTGTTCATCGTAAATCAAACGTCGTGAAGTCGAGGACTCCCTGTACTTCTAGTTTTGGATGTCCAACTTTAAATACAAGTGGTTTGATATTCAGGGGTACTGACCACAATCCTAATTTAATTCAAAGGGAGTTGGTGATGCTCAGAACGTATGGAAAAAAGTCTTTAGAGTTGGGGTCCCAAACTAAGATACCCAAATTTACAGACCACTTTTGAAACAGTGTGTCTAAATGACTTTCCCACTACCAAACTGCAAGTCAGTATCAGATAAAACGACAAAACCCAGTAGTGATGGCCCAAAGCTTCATATTCTAGCCAAATGCTGTAGAAACTGCAGCCCATGAAGCATACTGCAGTAAAACAATTGCCTGATTCTCTTCTAACTTACATTAGTTTTACACCAATGTAACTAAATTGGCCTCTGTGGCCTTCTGATTTATCCTAGTGAAAGAGGAGAATCAAGCCCTAAATGAAGTAAAATGTCGAACAAGTGGGCCTGAAAAACACAGTCTTAATAGTAAATGGCAGTTGTGTTTACTGATTACTGTATCTCTTAAAACACCATTTTAAAAATGTAGCCCCTGCTGCAATACCAAACACACATATTTATCCTTGTCACTGTTCACATGTAGCAGGATGCTTTTCAACAATTTCGACTTTATATATACACTGAAATATCTCCTTCCACAAATAGATATAGATATATAGCATCATTTTTACTTATATAAATATATTGAATCACTCACATGCACGCCTCCTCCCTCCCCCTCCCCCCCAACATCTCAGGTACACATCAGTTATGTGGATATGGAATATATCAGTTCTGTCAGGAGCAGCCAGAGTTCAGGACTTACATTGACAATTCTTTGGATCAAGAGCATCTCCAAAATATCCATCAGCGCACCTTTCACAGTATTGACCTGTTATACCAGTCTTACATATCAGGCAAGCTCCAGATAAGCTGTCACAGCTGCCAGGAACGGAGAAGTCAAGGTTGTCATTACACTGGCAGGGCCGGCATGATCCTCCTGGTATTAAAGGTTGTCCAAAATAGCCATCTGCACACCTAAGACAAGAGATACTATCAATCAGGGTACTTACATAGTCCTGTTAGGAGAAATGTTTACAGTTTTGTTGTCTCACTAATCACTAAGGATGATTTGATTTTTCTTTCAAGTATTTTTTTAAGTGCCTTAAAAAACAGCACTGTAGATACAGAACCGCTGAAATCCTGCCAGCTCTGCTAGTAATTAGATTTCAGTGGGGGTGCGGGAATCTTGTCACTGGCACTGAAGACGAGACAAAAGCATAATAAGAAATCTGTCTATTGGCACTCCAGAGGAATTCAGGTCCATGTTGGAAAGCCTTTGTACAGCACATCATGTGTAGCTACCCAAGTAAGCTGCTTTTCTGTACTCACTAATCAGGAAGACTGACAATTCCCCTCCCCCACCCCATTCCTGGACATAAAATATTTTTTGGGAAAACAAGTTCACCTGATAATACAGCAGCAAATGTATTTGTTTTCCTAATAAATAAATAAAATAAAATAATACACAACAAATCTGCGACATGGAACAATCTGTTTAATATTAGAGGGATGTATGTCTGTCACACAGAGGTCACGTAGAATGAACTCAGTAATGCAGGAACCACTTAGTTGTAGCTAAGTAAGATATACTGCTCATTGCAAATTTCAAACTAGGGATGTTAAAAAAACTCACCTATTTTTCAATTTACCTGTCAGTTGCTTTCTATAGGTACCATGTAAAACATTACTGCACCTGAGTGAACACTACTGCATGTTTTGAAAGTGTATCTTTACTGTTGCAGCCCATTTTCTATTTATATTCTGCTCGGCTCTCCCTTTCCATTGCAATTGCTCACACTTCACAGTAAGACCAACTTGTAAAGGGAGAAGTAAAAGAAGGAACGTAAAAGTCTCCTAATTCAGGCTAATATTGTTGTTCATGTCATGTTGTAAGAATTCAGACTAACGTAAAGGAACACTAAAACTCTATGAACCTCCATGTTATTTAAGCCAGTGTCTCCAACGAGCTGACAGCTCCATCTCATCACCTACCAGGCAGGATACACAAGCAAGAATCTTGTGCATTATGCCTGGATATGCCTTTTGAGTGCCTGGCTTTGCAACCTAAACAACATTCTTTTAACATAGGTTGGTTTTGGTTGGTGTTTTTTTCTTTGGGGGGGTATTTTTAAAATAACAAAGATAAAAACACATTCTATTTTGTATCACTATAACAATCCCCCCATCAAATATCATCATCAGGGTTTGATCCCTGAGCAGTCAGTATTGTAGCAAAGATGGCTACTGCTTGAGCCTTTGTTAGCTAGCAGCAAGAAAAAGCAGTTATCACAGAGAAGGAACATGCTGCTGGTACTATGTGCTGGGTCCAGGAGGTGTTCCGGGGGAGCCCAGCCCTTCTCTCTCTTCCCTGCCTTGTGAGATGGGAGGCTCCTTCCCCATGTGATGCCCCCAGAAGGGAGGATGGAAGGCTGAAACTACGTGCTGGGTGCAGGGAGTTATGGGGAAGATCGACTTGGCTCTCTTTTGCCTCCCTCCCTCACTAGTTAGGGGAGCTCCTGCTCTATGTCATGTCCCCAGAATGGAGTAGGTAAATTGTGACTCAGGCCATGTATTGCGTTGAGATGGGTTATGGGGGCGCTTGGCTTGGCTCTCTCTCTTGCCCCTCTGGGAGTTGGGAGAACTCCAGTCCTATACCACACCTCTGAGGAAAGAGAAAATGGAAGTCTGGGGAAGAAGGATTATTAGAGGAACTTAGCCTTGTTGTCTCCCCCACATCCCCCACATCTAGCTGGTCTGGCAGCTCCCAAGCATTCCCAGAGCAGTTCCTTCTGCTGCCACTGTTTTGGTAGTGACACAGGCCAAGCTTTACAGAGTGGTCAGTGATTTTGACAGGCTACCAAAATTTTCCCGACAAACCCAAGTGAGAACTGACAGTGATTTTTGATACTTTAACATTCTGCTAAATCTGAATGCAATTTCATAGGACAAAGAAAAGGCACTTTGGAAGCTGGGGGTGGGGAGTGTGAGCTTTTCCCAGCTGAATATAAGACCTGCTGTAAACAATGAAGGTGTTGATATTTCACAATGCAAAGGTCCCAGGAATCCTTTATAATGGAGAGTATTATGCATCCTAAATAAAGGAGTCCTGACCATATTCCCCTACAACAGGCAAAAGCAGGTTTGTGGGCAGCTGTAGGAATGAAAGGGTATGAGGCTGTTGTTTTGAGAGAGAACTGTATATAAGATACCTCATGATAATTTGGGACTGTTAAATTACTAGTTTCATATGACTCAGATCAGTTGTTAGCTTGCTGTTACTAAAATAAAAAGGAATTTCATGTACAATCTTTGGGCAATTACACATACACTTTTAATAGCAAATACAACATGTTTTCTTCTGCCTTCTAAATATTTAATGTAATCAATGGCCGTGAGCTGTTCTACACAACTTGCTATATTTAAAAAAAAAACCAACCACTTTTTCAGATTCCATCCTTGGCACTAATCTACGGATTATGCTCCACTCTGAAATAGCATTTGTTGATGATGGAAACTGTCAATGACTTTGCATTGACAAACTGCCACCAAAGTGCTCCTGATGCGATTACCTCCTGCAGTCATTAACTTCATAGCCCCCTAGCTGAAAAGAGGAGGATGCTGTCCGAGGCGGACAGGAAAAGACAGGCAGAAATAGCACTTAGCAGGAGCAGCCACAGTGAGGGTGGGTGGGAACAGGTGACAGCCTGCATACTCTCTCTCTCTCTCTCTCTCTCTCTCTGTGGTGCAGGGAAAATACTGCACTGTAGGGCATTTCAGGGGAAGTCACTGTGACTGTAAGTTGGATAGGCAGGGCTATACAAGGGTAAATATACAGGAAGGTGAAAAAGGGTGTAAAACGGGCCCCTTGCCTTCTCTTACACCTCTTGTTTTTCAGTTTTCTTGCTACAACCCCACTCTCCCACTTCTCATCCTGTAACTTACATCAGTTTACACTCAGTGGCCTTCATTCACTTTAGCGTCTGTGCTGGAAGATGCTGGAGGAAACTCTAGCAGTGAGTCCCAAGTGTCAGAGAGTCCATCAAAAGAAAGGTCAAAGGGGGACCACGGAGGATCCAGGGTCTAGACAGTGCCCTACTCAACAGGATGATATGCTGGAGAGCAAGAGGCTGTGGTCAGGGAGCCTGGGGATATGCTGATTCAGCACTGCCTGAACTGAAAAGCTGCCCCTCTCTGGTGAAGCCCCTAAAGGAGGAGACAGTGTAAACATTGCCTTCCCTCCCATATAGATGATATTCCCCTTGCGGGAAATTGTTCCCTGTGGTACAGAGGTGTGCAATTTGCACCTCCCTGATTAGCATTAGAGAGTCAAATGCTCTTACCCCAACCTATCTCAATCTACACAATGGTAACTTCTGCAGCCATTTAAATTAGGCCTTCCAGTACAACACAGAAAAGAGGTGCGGGGATGGAAGAAGACCTTTAGCAAACCTTAGGCTCTCTCAATACCAACAGCTCATGGAGGGAAATTAGACTAAGACCAAGTATACATGAAATACACCAGACTGCCAGAAGCTGGGACTGAGTGACAGGGGATGGACCACTTGATAAATTGCCCTGTTCTGTTCATTCTGTCAGAAGCACCTGGCACTGGCCACCGTCGGAAGACAAGATACTGGGCTAGATGGACCATGGGTCTGACCACGTACAGCCATTCTCATGTTCTTATACACAAAACTTCTCTTTTTGTCTTTTTCTATATAGGTTAAAAATTTAATATTCTCAAGCAACAGAAAAGTCTCTGAATTATTAATATGCATTGCTGTATATTTGTCACAGATATTTTTCTGTCACTATTTAAAACCCAGTAGCTCCACTTGCTAAGTAAGGTACAGCAATAGAGATCTAGAAGCAAGAAAGATTTTAAATATTGGTTTAAAATAATTAACACAACAAATAAATTCTGTTAGAAAAGTATTTTTGGTTGTACCCTGACTTTTTAAAAAGAACCAACAGTAATGCACTGAATAATTGATTCACCATGCTCTAAGCATTTGACTGACATTTTAAAGACACAAAAATAATTATGAAAACTCAAAAGGGGCACAAAATAGCCAGAAAGATAATATTAAAAACTCTGACTGCTTTCTGACAACTGCTTTTTTGAAGTTGTAGCTTGGTGTTTAACACTAACATCATAAATGATCCCTTTTTTTGCAGCTGATTTATAAAGCAACGTAAGAAAATTAGTGTAGAGAATAAATAAATTACATCAGTACATATACTCTATGATAGAGAAGTATGAATAGGAACCTCCTTGGTGAGTTCATTGCAAGTTTGGGGGGCATAGGGAGAGAACAAACAGGTATAATAATCCTGTGTGAAAAGTACTCTTGCTTTAGACTTTAAGGGAGAAATGGTAAAAAAGACTGCTGTATGGCACTTGCTTACCTCTCACAGCGTGGTCCTGCATACCCAGGAGGGCAGTCATCGCATATTAATCCATGACTTCGGTCTAAATGACATGTTGGGCTAAAGCTACGTTGTTGATGTTGGGCAAGAACAGGGACAAGGAAGAAACATAAAAACAAAATCATTAGCGTTTCAGTTCCCTTCCTTCTTCAAAAAGCATTACTTTGAAAATAGAGCACAGGGAAAGTCCTTCTGTTCTAGCACATGGAGTTTAGGATTGGCTGCAGCCAATAGAAGTTGGAATGACTCTGCTATTTCTACTGACACTGGATATAGCACAACCAATGGCACCATCCCAATGTCATGTTATTATGGGACTTTAGCTTTTCACTGAGTCAGTACACCATTAAAAAGCAGGAATGTACAGCTGCTTGTCTGTGCCCCTGAGGGCCTGGCAAAACATGAAACCTCGGACTATACTCTCCAGCTAAATCTCTCTGAAACTGAAGGACAATTGTTTGGAAAGCTCGGTTAACGTAGTTTACGTGGAGTGTAAAAAAAACTCCAATGCACAAAGGGGGGGGGGGGGCTAAAGGAAAATATTTGGTAAAACTTCCAATACAACTCAAGATTAAAATTCAGCCTGAGCCTTATCTGAGCAAATCCAGTGGCAATAGCAGTATCAACAAGCCATCCAGTCACACTGCAATTTCAGAATGGTCTGCAGACTACTGAGCTTTCCTTCATGCATATTTTTAGCTGTAGTTTTATATAACAGAGGTAATAGTCAGGTCTTGGCAATGCAGCTATTTGCATGCTTACAGCCTTCCTATGATGGTGTTTTATCCTGGCTGTGTTCCTCTGCCCTGTAGCATTTTGTTTTCTATGTTTTTCCTCCCCGTTACATGATTGACACACTATAATGAGGTAATCTGCTGGCACACAGAAAGATATAAACAGTTTTAGAACAACAGGAGATCCATCGCTTTACCACTTTAAAGCAATCTGCCCTCAGTTATGCTTTCTTCTGTTTCAATTATAGATTAATTTAATTCTATTTATAACCACTCTGGCTGCCACAAGACATACCAGTGGTCCAGCAGCCTTAGGACATAGCTCCATGAAAAGAATGACTGCAATGGGGTTAGTAAACGTGAACAAGGATTTGTAATTTTCTGTTTTTTCCCCTGGGGGTATTGTTTACACTGTTATGAGCCATGTAATGCACCTTTACAGTCACGTGAAATTGGCCCGTATTACATAGTTTAGCAGCTATTTTATTACAATATATTAGCATATAGTAATGTAGAAGTAATAATAAAATTAGTAGTATAAACATAATATTTCCACACTTTTAATTATCAGAAAAATATCACTCAGATCTGGATTTTTCAAGTTTTCTTTTTTTGACTTAAAAAGTAAGCCAAGTCTGCAGACCTGCTCAGAAATTCCTTGTATAGACATTATTGAGTTGTACCAGACACATTTTACTCAGATTTAGAGTGAGAGGCAGGGATGTCCAATTGATCATGTAACTTGATGAGCTGAATACTCTTTAGACTGTTGTATGTACATAATACATATTCTGGCCACTTCCTAGGTTCTTGAAAACTAAATCATGTGATGCAAAAAAAGTGGATTAAATTATATTTTAAAAACAGAAACTGTATGTTAACTGTATGCTAACTGTATGCTCAGAGAGACAATGTGGGTGAGGTACTATCTTTTATTGACCCAACTTATGTGGTGAGAGAGACAAGCTTTCAAGATACACAGAGCTCTTCTTCAGGTCTGGGAAACATAGTCAATGTGTTGAAGAAGTCTATGTAAACTCGAAAACTTGTCTCTCGCACCAACAGAAATTGATCCACTCACCCACCTTGTCTCCATAATATCCTGAGACAGACACAGTTACAACACTGCATACAAGAGTGTACTCAAGCAGGTTTAATACATCAGTGTCCATGAACTTCAAGATTTTGAGCAAATTTTAGGTACATAAATAATTGGGGAAAATTATGTGTCAGTGAAGAAAGACAGAAGTTTGCCAGAAAAGTTTTGACCTTTCTTCTGAGCCACCTTTGAAGGGATTTTGCTGTTGCTTTCTGAATGGTTTACAGGATCCAGGCCATGAATACCAAAAAATGCCACCAAGTAATGCCAAGTTATATTGACATAATATCAGTAATGATGAAAAAACTAATATTTTAAGCAAACTTCATAATATGCCCCACTGCAATAGACATTCTCACTCTATTTTATTTTAATATCATAAAACATGTTTACAGCTGGGCCTGAGCAGTAAAATTAGAGCCCAGACTTCCACCAAACACTTCCTTCCTGCATTGATCAAATGGCCTGATCAAATGGCCTGCTGGTTCGGGCCCATATCTTTAAGGAAAAAATCTCAGTATAGAAAGAAGAGCTTTCATCATCCAGTTGTAAGAAAAGCACATTGCCAGCAAGTAAACTATCTGATATAGGCATTTTTTTACAGACATGTTGCCAGTGAAAACTAACCCCACCACAAGATTTGATTTAGGCCACTACACTTTTGCACAATATACAATTCTGGTACTGTATTGTTTTTATAGCACTCCCATGGTTAACTGAGGGCAGGACTGTACTCCAGTATATATTGTTACAGTAGGGAGCTCTACTTCAGTCTCCTACTTCCAGTCACATAGTGGGGAGTTCCTTATGCTGTTTATGCAGCAGCTGCTACTGCAATCTTCTCACATGAGAGCATGAGCATAGAGCCAAGTACAAGTTACACGAATGAGGCCAAGTATGTCTATAATGCAATCATGGGGTATGCCTGCAGTTTGAGCCGACATACAGGAGCAGTGAAGCTGTGGCAGCATGCCCGTCAGGAAGAGGTAGCCGTGAGGAACTACTCAGGGTTCCAAGGCAGGGCTGAATAGCCCATGCTGAAAAGCATGCTGTCTTGGCTTCACTGCTCTGGGAACCAAGCTAATCAGATTAAAACTCGCTCAGGTATGTCTACTCAAGATGAAGTTACACCCAGTGATTGCAATATAAATATCTCCTTTTTAGAAGCAGCCTGTGGAGTTGTGGGAAGCTGTGTGGTTGTGGGAAACTGAGGGTTCAATACCAAGGAAAAGCAGAAGGTGCTCTGCACAAATGTGTGTGCTAGAGGGGTGAGAGTGCAAGAAGCCGTTCGACTGCCATACACCCATTGTAGAGGAAGGCAATCTAGTGGCTCTGCTGGGGAGTACTAGGTGACATGCCAGTACCAGTGGTTCCATGTCTGGGCATGGTGGGTGTAGAGCCATGTACACTGAAGAGCACCAGCACCAGGACAGTTCTGTTGAGGGGGAAAGTTGTACACCACTTTCCACCAGGATCTCCGCACACTCTTGGTCAAAGTACACTCTGACTTACAATGAGATGTGAATGTGGAACAAAGTCAACAGAGTTAGAGTGATGTAAATAGAGCAAAAACTGGGCCACCTATACTTTATACAGGCAGATTGCCGTTCAGTGATGCCCTCCCTCCCTGTTCCCTGCAGAGCTCTGCCTCATAGAGAAATCATTTAGCCCTAAACTTCTTACGAAATGATCATCATCTTTGTCTCCTAAATATTAAAGCAGATTGGAGATTGACTTAGAATCTTCAACATTGGGCTCCTAAAATGCTGGTGGCACTAACAATGACACTGTGCTGCAAGAGGGCCACAATTAACCTGTGGCTGGAATATGCTAAAGAAGTTAATTTGAACCCATATATTTATTTTAAAATACTCCTTTGCCTGTGAGACAAACATAATAGGAGAGTCAGAAGATCCAATATGAGGGTGTGAGCGTAGAACTTTACCTGGACTACACGGTATCAATAGAATTTTGGTATTTTGAACTTCAGGACATTGCACTGACTAAACCCAGTGAACCGTCTTTCAAACCACACAATCTACTGAATTGCTTGTGCTTAAGTATCACAGAGAAATATCTGTAGTTACCAAAACAACATTGATCTTAGCCACTAATCATGATTTAACAATCTCACCAATATTTTACAAAATTTAACAATACAAGTTCATAGTAATTATTCCAAGAAATATTTATAAATGAGTTAGAATATCTTGGCTTGCAAGTTACAAGGCTGAATTCAACTGAGAAAATTCTGTTCTGTACATCAGATTGTGAATGAATCAGCAGCTACCACAAGCTATTTGAAATCCAATTAAAAAGAAAAAGGCAGAAGGAATCTCAGCCAGATTGGTTGTGCAACTAGTATACAGAAAGTTAAAAAAAACCCCATCAACTCCTAAGAAAAACACATACAAAATCTGTAATTTCAGCTTTCTATTTAAATGGATAGCTATTGTGTAGGTGTAGGGGAGGGCAGAGTGGGAAGGGGGACTTTAATAAAAAGAAATACTGATTAGTGGTGAGAACAGAGGCCTAGGAGTCAAGAATTTTAGATTTTACTTAAGGCCCCAGCCTTAATTAGCATAGTAAATAAAACCACTCAGCTGTTCTGTGCCACTGTTTCCCATCTTTAAAGTGGGACTAATACTTACCTGAGGTCATATGATATTTATTAATGTTCATAAAACCCCTCTGAGACAATATTCTACAGCACTGGTTGGCCCCAAATGAGGCAGTACCAGTACTATAAGATTCCATGGTTTAGATCATTATTGTACAATATTATAGTTGTTTTTATTTTAAATAAGGGGCATTTGGAGATCCTCATCCAAAAAAGCAAGAGCACTCAACACAAAAATAACGCCATTTATTAAATGTATGAAAAAATTATTGTTATACAGTAAATATGCATCTTACTTGTTAGAAGGTATAGTTAATGGGCAGGCACACAACTGGCAGTCTTCACTTGTCCCTTTAGTAGGATCGCCATAGAAACCAGGAAGACATCTATCACAGTATGGGCCACCTGTATTGTACTTGCAGTCCTGAATAGCAGATGGAAAGTTGAGAATGTCAATTCAACCTCAAAATCAAAGAACCAGCCATGGAAAAGACCTTGTAAGGTCATCTAATCCATTCTCCCACTAGTGCAGGGTTGTTCCCTACAGTACATGTTCTTCTGCTTTGCTGTTTAGCAGGGAACTAACTCTTACAATCAGTGGTTCAAAGACACATTTATGTTCTTTCTGGAGAGATTTTCTTAAGCCAAATGAAAAGAGTATTTATACCTCCTTGTTTCTTGTTTAGATCTGGCATATTTTAAAGGGGCCTGATGCACTTAGCAATGTGAAAAGGTTTATTATTGTAGCCTTACTCTTATATCTTATACTCTTGATGAAAAATTAAGGGGTTCAGATGCCGATCTCACATATACAGCACACAGTCATCTGCAAATAACTGTTGCAGTTGCACATCTAAGTACAGTCATTCATTTTATGAGGTCTGTGGCTGGCAATCCACTCTATTTTGGATCAGAAGCTGACCCCTGGTAATTTATTATTTATGCTGTATAACAGGATCAGAGTTATGATTTGCAGGTACAAATGAGATTTGAAATTCCCTTCAAGTCTTACTTCTAATTAGAGGGAAGAAACTGGGTTTATATGTTTGGCCCCCAAAACATGGAATCTCAACCAACCATGTATGCTCCTTTGTTAGCGAGTGACTTATTCGAACCCTGGCTCTATAGACCATGGAGGTCCCTGGCTGCTCTCACAGTTTGCCTCTACCTCTTTCTGTCAAGGGCATAACTTTTCCCATTGAGGGTAATTCACATTGAGAGCTCTTAGATTTTTCTCAATATTTATTGTCCTTCCATCTTCTCCTTGATCGACCATTACCTTGGACACCACAAGGATGTCCTTGCAGGAGACAATTAGCTGGTCTGTCTTCTGTCATTCTAACTACATGACCTGCTCCCTGAAGTTGTTGGTATTTCACTACATTTACTATACCAGGTTCTCCATAGACCTTTGACAGTTCTTTATTAGAACTTCTTCTCCATACATCATTCTCCCTTTTTGGCCCAAAAGTTCATCTCAACATTTTATTTTTCAAGATATTTAGCTATCATTCTTAGTCAGTGTTCACGTCTCACATCCACATATAACAAACTCTTGTATATCTGAAGCTTGGTCTTTCTCAGTAGTAGTTTGGAGCTGAAATTTTTTTGCTGAGAAAGGTAACAGGCATTCCTGCTCTGAAACCATGCCTTAATTTCCTCACTCACCATATTGTTATTGGTGATTAATGTTCCTAGGTATTTAAACTGTCTAACTGATGATTATAGACTGCTACATAAACTTGTCCCTTTTTCTCTCATCAGCTCATAACCATATATTTGCTTTTATCTTCATCAATCTTAAGACCCATTTTTCTTGCTGCTTCCTTCAAATCTCCAGTCATCCTTTGAACCATATCATCTGTCTCTCCTATGATACCCAAGTCATCAGCATATCCAAAATGTTGGGGTAGGACATTTCAATTCACCCCACCCTGAGAATTTTGCAATGATCATACCACTTTTTCCTATAGCCACATTTAAGACAAAGGAAATGCAAAAAGAAAAGGAGTACTTGTGGCACCTTAGAGACTAACCAATTTATTTGAGCATGAGCTTTCGTGAGCTACAGCTCACTTCATCGGATGCATACCGTGGAAACTGCAGCAGACTTTATATATACACAGAGAATATGAAACAATACCTCCTCCCACCCCACTGTCCTGCTGGTAATAGCTTATCTATTTCTATAAGGAAATGCAGTAAATCTAATCTACCTGGATTTCAGTAAGCAATTTGATACAGTTCCACATGGGAAATTATTAGTTAAATTGGAGAAGATGGGGATTAATATGAGAACTGAAAGGCGGATAAGGAACTCATTAAAGGGGAGACTACAATGGGTCATGCTGAAAGGTGAACTGTCAGGATGGAGGAAGGTACTAGTGGAGTTCCTCGGGGACCAGTCTTGAGACCAATCTTATTTAACATTTTTATTACTGGCCTTGGCACAAAAAGTGAGACTGTGCTAATAAAATCTGCAGATGACACAAAGTTGGAAGGTATTGCCAATACAGAGGAGGACCGGAATATCATACAAGAAGATCTGGATGACCTTGTAAACTGGAGTAATAGAAATGGGATGAAGATGAGGCGATGACTGACAATGTTGCCAATAGGTACTAGGAATGTTATATCTAAGGTTCAGGTAGGACTCAAAGCATTATACTGTTTGTCCTGGAGATCACACAGTAAAATTTCTGTCAGAGTACAGAATAGTGTCCAAGACCCTCAATATAACTTTGCTAATGCACAAACATTAACACTGCTATATACTAAGAACCTATATCTTATTTAAACTAAGGCCCCTTTAGCCTGCCAGCGCAGAATGATGGTGCACTGCTGACCTCCCTCTGGATTTCTGTCATGGAGAGTCATGCCTATTGTTAGTTTACACTAGCAGAGGATAGTGAGAGGAGATATTAAATTAGTATATTTCTGGCCACCATGATCCTTCCAGCCACCTTCCAATCCTTGCCTATTCCTAGCTATGGTACTCATGGTGTGTGCCCCATTTATAGATGATTGAAGAAACAATGAAGGCCAGTTTCCCAAAGGATTCTGGGAACCATCCTATCACCAACATGAATAAATTCAAAACAAAATCTCAGAGGGTCTATTTTCTCCTAGCTTACTAGTGGGGATTTAATATTTCATTACAAATATTGTATGCTGCAGTGACTATTAACGCCACTGAGTGCTTTTGTTCTTCACAAGGACTAGGTTTAACCAGCCTCCTAATGCTGCATAGTGCTCTCATAACACTACAAAAGAGGATTTCTGCATGTTTAGAACTTGCACTGCTTACTAAAGCAGTTATCATGTATATCACAATGGTAATGTAAATGATATAGCACGCAGCTCTCTGTATAGTTGTTCCAGGGATCAAAGGGCTTTGCAGGTTATTGCAAGATGTGCGTAAGAAATGAGCTTTTTATACAGGCCAATGCTGGAGCAGATGATCTGAGCTTTTATCATGAGTCAAAAACATATTTCAGCTGCTTTTCAACCACATTTCAAAGCTTAAGAAGAGTAAAAAGAAGTATCATATCTGTAAATTAGGTGCCTAAATTGTCTGTTGTATTACTGAAAAAACACCATGAATTATAATAAAGAGGCCAAAAGGCTGTGTAAATCTCAATATAAAGAATGCCTTTGATGTGAAACATTTCTTTCTTTCAGCACTCAAACGTCTCTCTCTTTCACTTCAAAAGCCTTAGGATCCAAACTGAATAGCAGCATTTAACAGTCTGCTTGGATACTAACCAATCTAACTTCACTTAGAGTACACTTAATGGAAGCCACAAGAAACCTCCAGCCAGACTTTTAAGCCCTTCTGTGCCCCCTCTCTCGACAGAATGCTATAGTACATGCACAGATAGTACAGTGCTGAGCACAGCATAAATGTTTGATAATGTAGGTAGATTAGGTATTATTCAACTGGGTATTTTCCAAGTCCTTTTCACTAGTGTGCTATCCTCACAGCAGTGTTCCTAGAGACATCTGATGGGGAAACTATACAAATCTCAGTCACTGATTTACTGGTGAACATCAAAATCAGTGGGCTACACAAGCTCCACAATACAGCTCTCCATCACTCCCCACAAAGGAGTGTGAGTGAATGACTGGTAGAGAAAAATAAAGAGAGGTCCTAGGTTATCGGGTTGTTTTGGCTGAGCAAGTGGCCCAGTCAGCTGTGCACTTCTAAGCAAAATAGCCCAGAGCAGCTGACTTACCTTCTGGAGCCTTAAACACTGACCCACTGGCAAGCCTTCCCTTTTCATTCTTTTTAACTGACTCTATCCCGTATTGATGTTACAGAGACTGTGGCTGGGAGCTACAATCAGTAATATACTAAATTCTCCCTATCTGTGTAAGGAAAGGCAAACCCATATCAGAATGGTCATGAATTTTTCTCATTGCATTTAAAGTGAAGGATTCAAAATGTAACTGTCAGGAGGGTTATGTTTTGCGAGGTACATCTTTAAGACTTACTGTATAATTAAAACGCTATTCATGGAAAAGCAATTTGAAAAATCCACTGATCCACAAATTAAGGCTATCTTGTTTTATTCTGCAAGGCAATTAAAACATCCTGTATGGGGGAAAACAGGAAGACCAGCGGTAATTCTAAATGCCAAATTACATTGTAAAAACCCTGAATTTTCATTCTGGACTTTTCCCAGAAGCTTTTTCTTAAGGAAAGAAAAGGGAACATTTAGAAACACGCTCAATACGGAGCCTGCTTGAAATTCTACCGGGAAATGAGAGTATGATATCCCACTAAATTGGCACTGGCTCAAATTGTGTTTCTGCAAGACTAATGAAATGAGAAATGTTGTTTCAAGCTTCACGCCATGTCAGAGAATATAAAACTAAAATGCCCTTGAGTTAATCAGAACAGTCTATTCAGCGTAATTCGCCCATTCCAAAAGGCTACGGAGCAGGGTGGAAACAGCTGTATATTGGGTAAGATTGTTCTGGATAATAGCATGGACCTAATTGCTGAATTAGCAGGGAACTATAGAGAATATATGCATTCTGCAAGAAAAGTGCTGGTTTCTATTTACTCTGAACCATATGCTTTAAATACAAAAAAGTTTTCTGATTTATTAAGCATTTCTTTGAAGCTAGAAGGAGGAAGCCAACAACAATACCTTCTTGTCATATTATAACAGAATTTACAAAGTTACCTTCTACAAACAATAAACAGAATAACCCCACAGCAGGAGACAGAGATGGGAGGTGATGGGAAATCTTGCATGGAAAGCTTATTGATATGCTTTGCTCCCTTCCAGCATGCCATATCATATGCTGTTGATCCTATTTTACCACTTCAGACTAAAGTGAATAAACCCGTTTTTGCTTATTTGCAGAAGTTACTTTATCTTGATATAGGGGCATTCAGAAGCAGTTCAATATAAACATCTCTTCTGTCAAATCACAGCTTCTTTTCCTCAAGTACGTGAGGGCCCAGTGGTGGTTAATTCAATTGTATTGGTATATTGAGCAGATATTGGTGCCACCAATCAGGTTACCCAAAGGCAGGAGCACTTACCATGCATTCTCCTGTGATGTCATCGCAGAACTCCGCATGACCAAAGCATGTGCATGGTTCACAGATCCCACCGAAAATAGTGCCGTTCACTCGTCTGTGTCTAGGCCAACAAGACTGCAAGCAAGACAACAAATTTGTCAGACAGTTAGTGTGTGACTTTATTTTTTAAACAGTTTTGAATTTGATAGACAGGCTCAGAAAATGTATTTGCTAAATGTCTAAAAATATTGAAATATTTCTGGAAAGCTATTCTTCCTGGCACTGTGGCTTTGCACTGACCTTAGCTTTATTGGTAGGTGAGAGATTAGAGGAAGCATTAACTTGATCTTTCTTCTGAAATGGTAAAATAAAGCAGAGAAATGAAGAATGGAAATATGACAGCGTCAAAGCAAGAGGTACAGTTTGAAAAATAGCCAGAAGACAAAATACTGAAAGAGAGAGAGAAACAAGCAAGGACCTTTTTTGAGAAGCTTAACTGCAAACAATGTACAACTAAGATACCCTTCAATCTTTCTTGTTCCAAGTCTAACAGGAGACTGCATTAAATTACAAAGTAGATTGAAAACAAAGCATGCTCCTTTATCTGCAAGTTTTATTTCTTCATGCATGTATAATAGTTTCACATCTGAAATTATTTACTTTAAATTTAGATCCAATAAATGCATGACTAGATTTTTCTTGGCAAAGGTGATATCTTACAACTGATTCATTAGCAAAAATTCAGGTGTTTCACTTATTCATAATAAGATGTAAGGCATCAGTCTTACTATATATTTCAAAAATGGCTTTACAGTTTTCACAAACTATTCTCCCTCTATGAAGATGTTCATGTGGTCTAAGGATTTTGCATATTGTAAATAGGTGCATGACATACTGTATTGACCTTGAAGAGAGCCAGCCTTATATAAGGTGGGAGTAGTCTTACAGAAACAGAGATATTTATAATAAAATGATCCTACATTTTAAAAAATGTTTTCCAAACAACCTACAGTTGACAAGTGATCCCATTTCCCCTCTAAGGGGCGTTGCTTTTTATTTTTGTTTTTTAGTCATATTCCTGTATAACATGAGATAGCTTTGAAGATTAATTAGAAAAGGAAGATTTTCTTTGAGAAACATTCCAGAAAAAGATGTTGGGTTTTTTTGTTGCTGTTTTGTTTTTGGCTAGGCATTCTTAATCAAGATAAACTGTAGATGTCAAATTAAGAACAAAAAGACTTAACAAACAGAAAGAGGGTTGTTTTTTCTCCTGCTGTGCAAGACACATCAATACGTTCCTGAGCAGCCACCTTCCATGTTTTAATCTTTCCCTCCTTTATAAACTGCATATACAGTTTTTAATTTGTCTTAGAAACTTAATCTAGTCTGAGGGAGTTGGCAAGCATGCACCACGTTGTACTATTTAAGGCTGATATTTTCAGACATTCAAGGGATGTGGATGCCCAATCCGAGCCTGGTTTGGTGGTGGAACATCTAAGATGAGATTCAAAGCATAAATGGAAGAAACTGCACCGAAGAGATGGAGAGAGTTTATGGGTTGAGATTTAAAGAGAGGAAATTACTTTGATTCAGAGGATGGGTGCTGAATCCCACATAATCATGGCAGCACAAGTGAAACACTGACTCCCACAGTGGAAAACTGAAAGGGAAGCCAGCAAGAAGCCAAGGCCAGGGGGAGGAGTGAGAATGCAAGGAAACAGGTGGATATAAGGTCAGGGGGGTGACGTGGGCAGAACTAGGTGATTATCACAAGCATGAACATTTTTGGATTTTTAAAAATTATCCATTTCAGTGTGCCCAGGCACATTTAACTGAACAATTTTCCTTGCCCAAATTCTTGTAGAAAGTGAATTTTAAGCTTGTGCACTTGAGTATTCTCACTGGTGGTGACATCTTTAATATGGGATTGGATACTTTCTAGCATAGCAATGACACTGGGTCCCCCAAACACCTCACTAGAGCATTAGCACAGGTGCAACTGAATGAGCCAGACAAGGGTCTGACCTCACCTTTCACAACTATTTTTCCTCTTATGATTATTTATATTGCTATAGTGCCTATTTATCAGTTGTATTGTGCATGCACATGTAATTGCCTTGTATAAACAGGATGAGAGAAAGTTAAATTTAAAATCTGCACCATTGAAGTAAATCTACAGTAGCCTCAGTTCTGAAGAAACAAAGCTTTGGGCAAAGCCAGTGTTGCCGAGAAAGAAAGAGGTTAAAGTTACTTAAAATCCTATTTAACTGCACTCTCAACTGCTGTACTCCCTGGGAGATTCAAAGCCCCACAGGCTCCTTCTCATGTCTCCTGATTATAAGAGTCATAGTCATCCAGTCAGGGACTGGAAACAATACTTTGTGATTTTTGTGACCAATCTCAATTAGCCAGCACACAGCTCAGACTTTGAATCTCTAGTAGGGAGTGCTCACAACAGTCAATTCAATAAATAAATATAAGGAAATAATGATCTGCTCCCTGGCATTCTGTCAGCAGGAATAAAGGCTAAACTTGTCAAACAGAATTTTCCACAGCACATTATTTGCTCAGCACAAAGGCTCCAATTGTGTAATTGAAAGAACACAGGCAGACTGCTGCACCCCTACGGAGCCCCATGGACTCCACTAGGGCTCTGTGACAGTGCAGCCATTTGCAGATGTACTGTCAATTGCAGACTCTAGGCCTTTGTGTGTGTTAAATCCATAAGGAGTGTTGCAAATGGGCAATAACTGTGAATTGGATATGGAGACAGAATATGAGGGTAATATAGTCTGACTTTCTGGAGCAAGAGAATGGTCTGGTTGGAACACCCTGGAGATCAGAAGATAGGGATTTAGGACAATTAAGATGAGAAGTGGTTACAGCATGAATCAGAATTTCAGCAGAGTCAAGGTAAGTAGGAGCTCTGCCAGTGTTCCAAAGTTGGCAGTAGGCAGAATTAGACACAATTGCAGTCAAGGGGCCTCTAAAATTTCTGGCCTTGAGATCAAAGTTAAGGTCTGAATTAAGAAGAGTAATGGAGGATTCAGAAGCATGAGTGTCCAGGATAATAATGGTGTTTCAGCCAATTGTGCTTCCCCAAGTAATTGTACCTACAGGAGACAGGCTGTAAAAGCTGCATCTATCTAGCTAACCAATGGTCTCATTTGATTTTGTTCCTATCTATATCATTTTGGAAGTGATATGAGCTTCTGTGGATTCCTTTAGGTCTTCTTTCTAGATTAGTATTACTAGCCCCAGCAAAAAGCAAAAGCATTTGGCATGAAACAAGACTCTAAGCCCTAAATATCATATATAAGCATGGGGTGATTTAAAGAAAAAGAGAGTTGACAAGCAAATGCCTAGAGTGTCTGTGTAAATGGCATATTGTTTGTAGTTTTGTGAAGCAGAGCATCTTGGTGTTTGAAACCACTTCCTTAGAGGCACAGCTTTTGAAGACTTTTGCGCTCCAATCTACCTCAAGCCATGCCTTTCTCGGTTAAGCATAAGTGTATGTGTGTGCATGCATTAAGGGTGCATTAGTGAGCTTGTATGAACATATGCATGTTCTGAGAGCATGTATATGTTACTCCTCTAACCTTCAACCTGAACAAAAAGAAAAACCTGAACAGTACTCATGCAAAGAACCTGGGGAAACAAAAGTGGGAATTCAGCTACACTCAGACCATGACTACACTGCAGCCAAGTCTATAGTATGAGTGATTTGCCAGTATAACTATACCGGTATACTGTACCAACAAGGTGTTCCTAGCATGGGTGCAGCATATACCAGCAAAACTGTCCCTTTGCTGGTATAGGAAATTCTAGCCCCACAGAGTGAAACAAGCTATACTGGAAAAGAACGAGTTTTGCTGTATAACTGCATCCACTTTAGAGCTTTTACTGGCACAGCAATGTCGGTCAGTGATCACACCTCTTCATGCCCTTCACTGACATAGCTGTACCATTAGAAGTCTGTAAACCAGACATGGCCGAAGTCTGACAGTGGTTGATAGCAGCTCATGTTCACAAATTGTAAGATTATTGCTAAGCAATATCTTACATACATGTGTAATGTCTCTAAATCGTGCAGTTGCAAAACAAATGATCTGAAGAGCACACGAAAATCTTCTAGAGAAATACTTTTCCACTCCATAATGTGGAAATCATTGTTGGGGTCTAAAACGTTATCTTTGAAATATTATATTTAATAGTAAGTCTGTTACTTTTGAGTTAGGGTAACTATACAAGGGACCAAATCAGATTTACAGAAGAGGCACTTGGGAATCAAAAGTCATGTTTTGCAAATAATTATTACAATTTCCAAAATTCCCTAATCAAATAACAACAACAACCACCACAAGACTGCAACTTGAAATTTCCAGCAGCAATTTCCCATTCGATCCAAAATCCAAGAGAAAGTGAATCTATCAAATGGCTCAGTTGGTATGTTGCATCAACAGGCAGCTCCAATAGACTGCGGCATTAGCACAGGTGATTTGCACTGAAATATATCTCAGCTCCACATGGATACTCACTTCGCAGGAGGTACCACCATACCCTGGAGGACACTGACAAACCTCCACAGAAGACGCCACCTTCTTACCAGTTGAATAGCGATCAGCAGCTTCAAGGCTAACCCCACTCAACCTGAGTTTAGATTAACAAAAATAAAATAGTTAACTCACAAACCAAGTATAGAAGGCAGATCAGTACACTTGGATGCAACTAAAAGTGAATGGGGAGACTCGGTGTGCTGTTCTCATTTACTTGCTTAAATATAGGAAGGCATTCATATTTATCCAATGTCTCAATTTCCTAGACGAATATCTACAGACTTGTAGCTATTTCTGTTCATCATGTGAAGAAGAATATGGTCAGCACACACTTGAAAACTCAGAATACTGTATCTGTAAGAGAAAGGCTATTCTTGGCATGCAAGTTGCATGCTTTAGCTTCCATTACAGATGTACATATAAATAGCCTGCTTGTCGCAAATGAAGTAGCAAAGAATTTTAGACTGTAAAACAACTTTCTCCTGCTTAAAACATTACATTACTGAGCTTTGATTATGGGACATTTTTCTTCCGCAGATTTGCCCTTTTGAAAAAGATTTCAACTTATCAGCTCTGTGCAGGAGGAATTCTATACCTTGCACATAAGAGTCATTAGTTCCAGTTCTCCAAATGCCACAAAAAGAGAAGAGACACACACAGGAATTTCTATTTTTTCCATAATCTTGCAGCAGAAAACTGAAAGAAAATGTTAAGTCTACCTCTCGTGGAATTGTTTTGGCATCTCAGTGATATGGCTGATATATATCTCAGTGACAACTAGCTCTAAAACCCCTCACTAGTAACTTTCTTTCTAGTCCTTTGAAAAAATTAAGGAGCCAAAAAAAAAAAATCAATCATTTTACTCAGTCAGAAAAAATGCTCCAATATTCCATGCTCTCCATAAATGACTTGGCAAAACTTTAAGTATTATTTTTATTATTTAAAAAACCTTCACTCAAAAATGCATAAATTAGCAAGTCAAGAAAGTACTTCATCACAGCTGACAGCTATTTTAATGCAAATTTGTGTTGTAAGTGACCCCCTCTCCTTGCACACTGGACAGACTGTGCAAATCTTTTGGTGAGTCCTGGAAGGGATCATGCATCTCTGCTGCACCCTGTTTCAGAGATACCCCACTGGCTGATAGCAGTCTAGGATTTGTGGGGTTGATTCTCAGCCAGGGCTCAGAGCATAGGCATAGTTTTTTTGGGGGGAAAGGGACAGGAGGCTGTTGATCCCCAAAACTGAAAGCCTGGGGCAGGTACAGAATATCCCCCCACACACACACACACACACCTGTGACCCCATTGGCTTAACTGGAGTTGCCCCCTGGCCCCAAATATAGAAGTCAAACTATACGTATGGCTCCAAGTACGCCATTTGAATTAGTGAGGTGCAGCTGAGCCTATTTTCACTTAGCACCCTTAAAGGAGACCTTTGTTACTGGTGGCGTTTGAAAACTTTCCACCGCACTGCATTTTCAAAGGAAAATAGGTTTTTTTTGACACAATAGTAATTTTTGTGAAAAAAAAAAATCAATGTTCACTGAAAAACTGAAAACTTTGATTTTCAAACAAAAAGTTTTCTGTTTTGGTTTCCAAAAACTGAATAAAAAAGGTTGATTTGAAAAAATGCACACACACACACACACACACACACACACACAGTCTCAAAATTTTCTACAGGAAAAAAAATCTATTTCCCTAACCAGCTATATATCAATTGCTCCCACAGAGAAAGAGGGGAACAGATGAAAAGAAAGGAAGGGGGATTAGCTACTATAACAGGGATAGGCAAACTATGGCCTGGGGGCGCATCCAGCCCTCCAGATGTTTTAATCCGGCCTTCGATTATGCACTGGGGAGCAGGATCCGGGGATTGCCCCGCTCAGGTGCTCCAGCCAGGGAGTGAGGTCAGGGGCTTGCCCCACTCTGTGTGGCTCCTGGAAGCAGCAGCATATCCCCGCTCTGGCTCCTACGTGGAGGGGCAGCCAAGGGGCTCCACACACTGCCCCAAGTGCTGCTCCGCGGCGCCCATTGGCCAGGAACCACGGTGCATTCATCACCCACTATACAATTTCCATACCCAGATGTAGCCCTCAGGTCAAAAAGTTTGCCTACCCCTGTACTAGATGGTAGAGCATGGAGTCTGGGGAAATATAAGAGCTACTCTGTGTGGTTTACAAGGGAGTTATTTTTTGCCATGGTTTGAATGTAATGCACATCTAGAGACTTTTGCCAAATTGGGATCAATTCAGACAAAACCTAAAATCCCTGCAATAAAACTCTACCCAGAGAGGATGAGCTGAGTTCACCCCTGAGTCTCCAGCAAGCTCCCTCTCTCCTTCATTATTCCACCCTGCTCCTTGCTACAAATCAATTGTGCAATTACATTTTTTGAGTTCTACTTTCTATGAACAATCCCTAGCCCTTTAGATATTAAAGAAACATGACTGAAAAGCTAGAAAAAGGCACAGAATAAATCAAAGAATTTAGAAAGAAAGAAAGACCTATAAACAAAACAAAAATTGCCAGTGAAATGTTGAATCTCATTTGCCTATTGACTACAGCTGGTCTGCTCCCAGCTCTATGTCATATAATTTAGAACAATGAGAAACTGTTACACACAGAAACATTTCACCTAATATTATTTCACATTTGTATTCACTGAATACTTCCAATTTTCATTAGGTTCTGCTGTTTGCTAAATGGGATTTTAATGTGTCTAACAGTTTTCAGTGTTAAACAGTTACTCATTGAAGAAAGCTGCAGTGCATTTTTTCCACTTCATTGTTGTAATTTCTATTCCTCAGTGCCATTCTGCATTCATTAAAATACATAATGCTGGCAGTAATGGAGCACTGGATCCTGGAGATATGTGAACAATCTGAGATTCAACATCTAGACCAAATATTTAAGCTGACTGTTACTGTCAGCAGGCAACTGCTGACTTCTAAATACAAATAAGATTAAAAAGGAAGGAGGCATTTCAGACAGTATCAGCATAGTTTACTGCCTGCTATGGCAAGCATCCGAATCACATCAGCTGCGTAAGCAACATGAGGTACTGACCTGAGCATTGTTCATTTGTCTTTTAGCTAATTCTGTATACTTAGAGGACCCCACTGCTTTGCCTTTCCTGTCCTCCTCCCCTCTATTTTAGTGGTTTCAGAGTAGCAGTTGTGTTAAGTGATGAGTCTATTTCAGACTGCAAGTAATATATTGTCTTTATCAAGATTTCTACAACTGCTCTCCAGTGCCCATCTCAGTCTACACCACATTTACATTAGCTGCACTGGCAAATATTAACAGTGAAGAATCAATGTTATTACTACAGGCTTCCTTAGAACAGAGTCTAAACAATACTGGATTAAGTAACAACAGAGCTTTTCAGTTCTGCCTAACTACAATAGATACACTTTAAAAGTTCAATCAATTTGAAAGATTCCACAAGCTCTAACAGAGTCTCCCAATTTAGGCAGAAAAGCAACAATCACTTTCAAACCCTCTGATGCATTGCACTCTTCTCCTCATGGTTTTATCCTCTCTAAATGGGCTTTTATTTAGATGTTCATTTGAGGACACTTCCTAATTATGAGATAGAGTAATAATTGCATCCCTAGCTTTAAAATAATCCACAAGACATTTAAGAGCAAATGTTGTTGCTTACTCAAGGGCAGATCAGTCATTACACATTAATAGGAAGTATCCTCAAATTATCATGATACTGAAATTTGTATGGCTTATTTTTTTATCCTTCTGTCAGGATAAAAAATAGAGGGGATGGGGATGATCTTCTGGTTAAGGCTCAGGCTGACTGGGACTCTGAACACCAGGGTTCAGTTCTCCGTTCTGTATGATTTTGTGCAACTCATTTACTCTCTCTCTCTCTCTCTCTCTCTCTCTCCGTGGAGAGATTCTCAAACACAAAACTATCAAATCACCCTTGAAAATCCTTGCAGATGTGAAGTCATTAGAAGTTTGAATATTTGCTCTATTTAAAAGAACAGGGTATTTAAAGGTAGTGAGTTTCTGCTGCTGTTTTGAGGTGGAACTTACCCACTGGAGAAACCTAATAACCCTCAAATGCTTACCAGATGGAGTGGGACCTCGGCATCTCTGTCACATCCTCAAGAAACATTTTCACACATACACTTTATTTTTTCACACTCCTAGTCTTGGGGTTATCTGAGCTCTCTGGGGAAGTCTGACTTCCTTCAGAACCCATCAACACTAGTGTTTAAGCAGTCAGAAGAGTCACTGCTGAGTGACACAAAGCACACAGACTCTTAAAGATTTTCCCTGCAGTACTCCCAAGGCTCGTAGGGCCAAGGGAACAGGAAATAAAGTTAATGTTTAGCCAAATCCACTATGGAGAAAACTGAATATTATACATTTATTTTAATGTGCAAGATTATTATTGAGTGTTTAAACAATTGAGAATTGAATCAGGTATTTTGCAAGATAGTAAAGAGCATTACCACGTAGCCCCAGGGCCTACAGTGTTTTATTAGAATGAAATGGAATCTAACAGAAAATAACACAGTCAGACCTAGGCACTCATTGGAAATTAGCAGTACATGTGTGATGTAATGGACAGCAAAAGATCAACTTAATTACAGAGGCCCTGGGTGAAATCTTAGCAAAACTCCCATAGACTTCAGTGGGAGCCTGGGTTTCACACCATGTCTTCCTCAATATTGTACAGCATTGAGCACCCTGATAGCTCTCAGTGTACATGATAACTAAAGAGCAAGCTATCTTCCGAGTGTGAAAGGCTTTGCATGATACTGGTGGTATTATACACAAACACAAAAAGCTACTTTAAACAACACCAGTGGGTGGATCTCAGCTTTACCAGCCATGGCTGTGTGTGGCAGGGAGGTTGTACCATCAGCACTGATTAGAAGTATTATGTCTGTGGTGAACACAGGCAGAACATCCCCAGAGATAGTGACAGATGTGGCCTGAGAGCAACTCAAAGTCATTTTTTAGCCAAAGACAATAAAAATAGAGAACACTCTTCTAAATGACTAACAGCTACTTTTTTTTTTTATCATAGCCCTTGTGGGACCTGCATTTCCAACCATAATCCCATGGCCACGGGAGGGAGACTGCCACAAACCTGCAAAGCACTTATTAGGGATTTTTTTTCTGACCCATCCATATGTTCTCCTGCTGAGCTTCCCTAAGGATACTACTCAGCAGAGAGGTTCCTTTTTCCATGAAACTCTCAAGTGCCCCCAAAATGCTGTGCACCATCTCAGCAACAAAGGGGAGGCAGTGTGGACAGTGCACTGGACTGGGAATCAGGAGTCCTGGGTTCTGCCAGCAGCCTCCAGAATGCCCTGGCAAATCTCTTCACCTGTGGGCCCCATTTTACAGATGGGGAAAATAATATTTACCTTCTTTTACAAAGTGCTTTGAGATCTGCTTTTGAGAAAAAGTGCTTATAAGAAAAGCATTACCATGTTTCTGAGAGTCTGGGGGTCTACGTATGTTTTCACAATGTTTAGCTACCATATTTAATCTGCATGGCACAGTTTATGAATCAGCATATTAGCTTTAAATGTTAAAAGGAGTTCTCTGTCAAGAAAGTAAACTGTGGGGAATCAAAAGAGGAGTGGAAACTTGGAACTTGGCAGGCAGGACTCTGGGCACTACTTGGCGGTTTGTAGGAGAAAGTTTTAAATAGAGACTGGCCCATGCCAAGACACTCAGATTTGAACCCCGCTGACCTTTACTGAAGTTTTGGCAGGCTCTCTCCTCCACAATGGGTCAAACTAAAATGCCAGATCCAAACACTACTAAGTTGAGGAAAATTTAGATCTAGAACCAAATTTTGCAGCTTAGCTTGATCTCAAGTTTAAAGGAACAAGACACAGAAAAGCATCTTAAGAAACGAAGTAGGAGAAAGGGAAGGAAGAGATTTAAGAAGCAAGATCAAATGTTACAGGGACAAATATCCCTGGACACCTGTACAAAAGCTGACGTCAGCAAGCTATATGCTTGCCATGACCTGCATTTCCACATCTACTGGTTGGAATCTTTGTTTAACCCATTTGGAATTAAAACAATGGCTTTTGCGATTTAAGACACTCTGCACACTCGCAAAATCGGTGTTTATTTGCTTTCAACTTATTTGCCACGTTTCAGCTGGATACCACTTAAAATGATTAAGTTTTAGGCTCCCTAAGTAAAGGTGAGAAATTAGAAAGTATTGGAAATGTTAGCAGATGCTTCCATATACTATATCTAGGAATGTGCTCTAGTGGAACAGGGCAACACAGAAATTTTGATTACTCTCCTCTTTTGGATAATACTTCATTCAAGGCAAGTAATCACAGGATTGCAGTCAGCTCCCTCTACCTCCACTTGCTTAAGATCACTGAAGTGACTGGTTTGTGGGTTAGTCTACACTTCAGATATTATACCTCATGAGTGGAAAACCACAATGCACCATAAATTGGAATTAATTCCAGTACCAAATTTTACAAACATGATTCAAGTCACTGAGCAATAGTGTATTAACAAAGGATAAATCTACAGAACCAGGAACCAGGCTGACTTTTGGCCCACCTGCAGTGTCCACTAATGCACTAACAGAAATTTCAAATCCAATGCTAGCTTTATAGATTGAACCACATAGTTTTGTAGGTATTGTAGACTGCACACTGCAGCCACCTAGATGGGTTTGCTACTGTGCCAGCTCACATAAAGCTCCTCAGCGCACACATCATTCATTTTATAGAAAGAGTTCAGAAGACTTCAAATGAAACCATTGATTTTAAGACGACCAGACAGTAGAATAATCTGACATAAATCAGAGGGAAAGGTTTGGGATTACCTAGTTGTAGATACAATACCGATTAAAAAAAAATCCCTCTAGCTACATTTTGTCAATTTTGTTTTTATTCATTTTGAGAGCTAAAGGATCCCTCTCTGCTGCATGGTCTTAACATCCTGGCATACTCTATTCTTTAAATGGGGAAACAAAAATTAAGATCTTCCTCTCATAACGAAGGCATCTCAGCACTATGAGCCATCAGAATCACTTATCATATACAACGGAAATGTAGTGCTTCAAAATAGATTTATTTATAGAATTGTGATTCTCTCCTTAATAGTCCACATGATTTCACTTTGTTGTGGGTTAGCCAGTAGAAGCCCCCCCCCCCTCAAAAAAAGAGTTAGAATGGGAAAAAAATCAGACTATTTGAAAATGTTAAGACTTAAATAAATGTTAAAGATTTAACTGAGGAAAAATAACAATAAGCATCCTTCTAAATTACACCAACCTCAGCCCTGCACAAAGAGAAAATAAAAGCATTCATCGGAGGGCCTGCAGAACATTGTCATAAATGCAGTTCCCACATCTACCTGTAGATGGCATCCATCCCATAGCTGTATGTGGCTCTTATGAGGAGCCTCTTTATATTTGCCAGCACAGTCATGAATTCCCTTTTGTTGACTGGAGAGTCAGTGCCGTGTACGGTAAATAAGTCCGGTTCCAGCACAACTTCTTCAGTGTGTTCTTCAAATGGCTGCAGGTGAATGCCCTCCTTTGAAGTGCTGATTCTTAAGCCAGCTCCCTAGAGAGAGCGATGTGTTTAAGGGATACAGTTAAATATAAAAAAGGGTAGAAAAGATGCTGTATCATTGTGGATATTTGGTATGAAGAAGAACTGGAAAGCATATTTTATGAGAATAGTCTATATCAGGAATGCACTAGATTTTCCAGTGTTCCTGATATGAGCTTTGTTGCAAAAAGTCAGTGCATGCAAAATCCAGGTAACCCAACTGGAACCCAGTGGCATGGCTTTGAATGAGTATGAGAAAATCCAGATAACCCACTGAAGCACAGTATACATGATACTATACAGCACAGATGTTTAAAGTGTACTGTTGGTTTAAATTGTCTGCAAATGCTATTTCAATCAACAAATGTATTATATTTATTCATTTTTCTTGCTCATCTTTACAAATGTAGTTACAATATTTTCTGACATTAGTAGAGGCTCCTTTGGGTACTTAGTCTTGCCTATCTAGTTTTAGTCATTAAGCTCTGATCCTTATTGGTTGCTGTAAATTGGCTGCAGACACACCTTTACATGTCAGTTTTGCCTGCTCACTTTTGGATGCTGTTAGCCTTCAGTGTTCATGGAAGAGATGGACAAAAGTTAGTCACTGGAAATGAAAATACTTTACCTCTATGATGATATCAGATTGCAGTATTGTTTGAACAGCTTCTTCCTGCCCTGTGAGGTCATAGGAGATGGTAAATTTCAGATGCCCTCCAGCAGCTGTTATCTATAATAAAGCAGAATGATGCTTATTACATGATAGGAAACGTGCCTTTAACCATTCTGGGTTACTCTTTTCCTATGACAATATTTCCAGGAAATGGATTTCCAGTGTTGTGAAAGGAGTTGTGGATGATCTAGTGCCTTAAGCAGGAAGTCCTGATGAACCATTCCCTCCCTGCCCCAAGCATGAGTGGACTCACTCTCACCTACTAATATTTTCCCCAGTGCCAGGCAAAGGTTGCAAATCACCCCAAATACAGTAAAACCAAGCAGCAGCAGTTCCTCAGAAACAGCTTTGAAATCTGCAAATACATCTCCCTTCAATCTGCATTTTGTAGAAGGCTAAGGGCTGTTTCAAAGATAGGTTTTGAATGTGTTTCAGCTACTTTAGCCCCCATCTGGTCCTTGCCTCCTTAAGAATCAACCAACCAGTGTTTTGTACAACACCTCGCATAACGGGGTCCCCCTGATCCAGGACTAGGACTGCTAGGCACTACCATAATACAAATAATAAGCAACAATAATAATAATTAATAATGGATACAACATCTCCTATTCTGATGCAAAATATACCCATAAGGCAAACTGGCATAAAGGAAAAGAGTTTTGCTTTCGTATCAATTGTAATTGAAAATAGAGGAACGTAATAGTCTGTCCTCATGCAGTCAAACAAAGCAATGGTATGTTCTTTACCTCAGCCTGAGTCACTCTCCATAATAAGAGGCTAATAACCTCAGGTCATATCTCATTTCAGTATATTTTTCCGAATCTGTTTTTGCACCCAAATTCAGGGCCCTGACAATAACTTTCCGGAGAAAAATCACAACATGTATAGATCATTTTTAGGACAGGAATCAAAACTACTGTCATGAATGACTGAGTTTACTGCAAATACAGCAGGTTTGCTTTCCACCAAAAACTGTTAAAAGAGCAGTTTTTAAAAAAAAATACAAAAAAGTCTGTTTTGTATTCCAGTGTAACATCTCCTCTGAGATGAACAACCTACAACAGCAAACTCCCTGCCCTTCCAATCCATGTTGCTGACCACAGAGAAGTCTTGTGAGTATTCTGCAGGAAGGAGAACAGTATGATTATTCTCAAGGCTGATCCAAGGGAACAACGTACTGTATTGTATCATTCATCATACTGGATGTGTTACACGGCATGTTTGCACACATGTAACAGAAAGCAAAGGATGCTCATATTTTCCTGTGCACTGTATTTTAAAAAGAAGAGGGGAAGAAAAATCAATCTCCTTATTTAAGATGCAGCAATCAGCTCATTTTAGATAACATATGGAAGTATAAAAATCTGTGGATTTAGGCTTTATGGTTAGTAGCTATGTGAAAACTACAAGAGGCTCCCAGGATTCATAAGCAACCAAAAGTTTGGATGTGTATCCAAATGTTATCCAGACCGGCTGGGTCTACAAAACTACCTCTAGCCTCTAGTGACACCAAAAACACCTAAAAAAAAAATCCCTAGCCTCTAATGCAGTGCTTTGGCACTTCTGCTTCTAGTCCTGACTGAGCCTGTAGGGAATTAGGAGAATGAAAAGCAATAGGAAAGCAAAGATACTCGAGCATTATTCAGCCTCAGAAAGAGTCTAAACCAGGTCAGTTCTTACTTAGTCTAGTTGTCTAGTTAATCTCAGAAAGGGTCTGAATGAGGTCAGTTCTTATTTTCTCTAGTTGACCTGTCCCTTTTTAGCTAGCACAGATAATGAACACATGAATGCAATATAAATTCTCAGTGGTCACCCCATCCACGCATAGTGCCATCACAGCTTGGAAGAGTTAGAAGAGTTTCTTTAAATGCCACCATAATGGTAGCACAGGAATGCCAATGTTTCAAAGTTGTATGTAGTGTTGCTGTAGCTGCCTTTTGGTCCCAGGATAGTAGAGAGAAAATGTGGGTGAGATAATATATTTTATTGGACCAAGTAATGTCTCTCTCACCGACAGAAGTTGGTTCAATAAAAGATATTACCTCACCCACCATGTCTCTCTGATGTTTCAAAGTGGCACTTATGAGGTACTTTGGTCAGCTCTGGAAGTATATTTTACCTGGTATTCTATGTAATACTGAAGTGGTTAACAATACAACTGAAGTCTCACAATATGATAGAAGTTATCACTTACATTTGCCATTGTTTTTGAATGTACTAGCCTTCCTCTGTTGCAACCTAGGTTTAGTTACAATTTAAGTCATGGGTAAAAATGAATGTGGTGATCTCATCTTTGTCTGATGTCAACTATCTTAATTTAGGAAGGGCAGTTCTGTTTTTTATTCTGGAATTTTTATGAACTACCATCATAACATCTGGGCAATTTAATAACACGTTTAAAATTTCATGACATAAAATAGTCACTTTGAGACTATCAGTTTAAATTCATAAACTGTAGTCCTGCAATCACTGTGCTGCATAAACAAATATGCCTCATAAGAACATAAGAATTCCCATACTGAGTCTGACCAGGTCCATCTAGCCCATTATCCTCTATCTGACCCATACCACAGGCTCAGGGGGAAATGTACAGAACAGGGCAATTCTGCAACCTTCTTACCTGTCAAGCAATTTACCCTGTGGTTCTCCTGGTCATCACAAACCCAACTATCTGTATTTCTAAAAAATTGACTCCTCCTCTGCTATTGCCCGTGTCTTCCTAATAATTGGAATTCTTCCCTCCCCCCTCCCACAAGAGGGATATCTTCAGTGCGAGAGGATACCATGACATTATCTAGAAGATGCTTCCCAACTATGGGATCATTTCCCTCCAATCCAGCTTCATGGTCTCCTGCCCAGAATTTCATCCTCCTTAATAGTACAGCACTGTTGGACAAGAGGTGGGACTGCTGTATGTCTTCTGTGTACCTCTCTGTCTCCCTTTGCCTCCAGGGCCCGTACTCTGTCTCTGAAGGCTTTGAGTTGCATGCACACGTACACCATCTGTCTGAGAGGCAGGTAATCATACATGTTACACTCAGTGCTATAAATTGGGTAGCCCCCACCTTCTGATACTGGTGTTCTATCTGCTTTTTATTCAGCCTAAGCTTAGAGGATGTTTGTGAAGTGTATTGGGTTCTCTTTATTCCATCAGTTACTTTTCTTGGGAATTTGGTACCTTTCTAATTGTTAAATCCCTCAGACTCCTCCCCTTAGAGTTAAACTCTCCTTACCTTGGCAGCTCACTCAGTTGCTATGCTCGCTGTCACTCACTCTGTCATGGGCTTTCTCTGCTCTCATGAGGCCTCTACATTTATAGCTTTGGCTAGGCCACACCTCCTCCCATCCTCCTATTGATTACTCTCAACTGAGAATGACCTACCAGTGATCTTAAACAATCAAGTTCCAGATCCAGTCAGCAGGAGAAACACAGCAGATCTTAACTTCTGCAGCAGGATACAGGATGGTAGGGAATTTCTCACAAATTTGGATCCTAGACCATTAGGGATTCTAAATATTTTGCAACCAGCAATTTTTAAATTGTATGTGGAAGTGAACAGGAAGGTTGAGAAGAGCATGGAGCCAGCACTTAAAGTGGTCTGAAAGAAGTGGGAGGGCCCTATCATTTTCTACAGAAATGAGAGCAATATCATACCTGCCTGTCTATCCGCCACCTATCAGTTTTACCCCCACATCTGTTCATAGATTCATAGATATTAAGGTCAGAAGGGACCATTTTGATCATCTAGTCTGACCTCCTGCACAACGCAGGCCACAGAATCTCACCCACCCACTCCTGCGAAAAACCTCTCACCTATGTCTGAGCTATTGAAGTCCTCAAATCGTGGTTTAAAGACTTCAAGGAGCAGAGACTCCTCCAGCAAGTGACCCGTGCCCCATGCTACAGAGGAAGGTGAAAAAACTCCAGGGCCTCTTCCAATCTGCCCTGGAGGAAAATTCCTTCCTGACCCCAAATATGGCGATCTGCTAAACCCTGAGCATATGGGCAAGATTCACCAGCCAGATACCCAGGAAAGAATTCTCTGTAGTAACTCAGATCCCACTCCATCTAACATCCTCAGCTCGCCATCAGTTCTTCCCCATGCCCCCTATCAATTCTGACCCCACATCTGTTCTGATCCTGCTCCACCCCCCAACCCGCACGTCACCTTGCTCCTCCAGCAGCTGTTGGGGCTCCTTCTTCCCCTCCTGTGAAATGACTTTGTCTCCTTAGGGGAGGGAATTGGTGAAAGCAGCCAATCAAAAGGAATTCGTTCCCCCCACCCCCTGGCAGGGTTGAAACGTGTGCCCCTCCAAGACCCAGCTTGAGCTGTGGAAATTTTATTTTCTGGGTCTGCAAGTGCTTTCACCCAGGTACAAATTAAGCATGGCTTGGAGTACTAGTGAAAAATAATCACATAAACCCAACTCAACATTCAGCAGAACTGCTGCACTCTGCATCATCTGAAGAGTCTAAGTCCTCTTTCAAGGGTCATCTTCTGCATTCTTTTTAACACCAAGTACAACACAATGTCATAGTCTATCTTGATGGTGACAAATGCAAGAATCACTGAGGCAAGCAACGTTGCTTTAAAAATTGGTAAGAACTTTTTGGTATTTTTTTCCCCACAGAATTCTTATCACCATTTTTCATGAAATTTCAAAATTTTCTGACCAGCTCTTGTAGCAAAGTCTGCATCTGAGTGGAAGGGCCACAGCTTCCTGGGGAAACCTAGATGACGATAGGCATGACAAGTTGCTGCAACTATGGCCATGATCTAGAAAACCATGTAAGCATGAATGGAACTACTCATGCTCTTAAAGTTAAGAGTTTTGATTGACTGGGGCCCATCAGAGAATGCAGATACAACAAATGATGGAGCAAGACCTCCCCATTTCTCCCTACACAGCAGAATGACTACCATCTTATCTGGACTAAACATATCCCTACCTATGGTGTCCCTCGCCTCTGTTTGCCAGAGACTGGGAATGAGTGACAGGGAATGGATCATTTGGTGATTACCTGTTCTGTTCATTCTCTCCAGGGCACCTGGCAT